GTGCTTATTAATTGTTCTATGTCATGTGGTAGCAAATCTCTCTTTGATGTTCATTAGATTTCTATTGAGTTCATTGTTCTACAGTAGTTAATTGACACTGCTAGATTCTATCGTTAGACATAATGTTATTACACAGCAAGTTTCATTATATATTTCTGCGCTCATCACTGGAATATGTGCTTGCTAGTAGAGGTATTAAATGCTTGGAAATAAAAATGGCAAACTAAATATTGGGAGGGGGGGGGAAATACGTTAACATTAAATCTGCCTTCTGAAGTGACACAGGATTTGTAGATCACATACTGTGATTTCCTGGCAAATTTCCACTTTCTCTCAATAGTCCACATGAAAAAAAAACTGGCTGAGTATCTCATTTAAGCCCTCGTGTGGGCTAAAGCAGGTAGCTCATAGGATTTTAAAGGACCACTATAGTGCCAGGAAAACATACTTGTTTTCCTGGCACTATAGTGCCCTGAGGGTGCCCCCACCCTCTGGGACCTCCTCCCGCCGGGCTCTGCAGAGAGGAAGGGGTTAAACACTCACCTTTCTCCAGCGCCGGGCGGGGAGCTCTCCTCCTCCTCTCCGCCTCTTCTCCTCCTCTTCGGCTGAATGCGCAGGCGCGGCAGGAGCTGCGCGCGCATTCAGCCAGTTTCATAGGAAAGCATTCATAATGCTTTCCTATGGACGCTTGCGACTTCTCTCTGTGATTTTCACAGTGAGAAGCACGCAAACGCCTCTAGCGGCTGTCAATGAGACAGCCACTAGAGGCTTTAGAGGCTGGATTAACCCATTTATAAACATAGCAGTTTCTATGAAACTGCTATGTTTATAAAAAAAATGGGTTAACCCTAGCTGGACCTGGCACACAGACCACTTCATTAAGCTGAAGTGGTCTGGGAGCCTAGAGTGGTCCTTTAAATTGTAAATTCAGCTTGCCTTATAACCATTTCTGCAAGGGTGTACACTTCCTTTTTTTCATTTATTTATTATTAAGACAGTCTAGATACTTACAGAATTGGAATATTTTTAAAATAGATGTTTCTTTTTTTATTTGTGGTTTGTAAATGAGTCATACATACCAATGTTTCAAATGTTTAAAGAGAAAACTTGTTTTTTGGACTTTGTCCACAGGCTAAACAAACAAAGAAACCTTTTATTTAAAATAAGACAAAATACATACATGTATTAACTTTATTTATTAAATGTACATTGTCTAACTGAGACACATATTCACAGTCTGATTAAAGGGACACTTCGGGCACCACAGCTTTATTGTATTTGATAGATTTTGGCCTCAATAATATGCTGTATTTTGTGTATGTTCAAATCAAACCATTGCATGCTGGGAACAACCCACAAAACTTGCCATTTTGGATATGCTCTAACCCAGTCTTTAGCCATAATGTTTTGAAACTTGCCAAAATCAATCGGAGGTTTTCACTTGCTCAATTTTCCTGCTTCCAACACATGAAATTTAAGAACTGACTGTTCACTTGCTGCCTAATACATCCCATCTCTTGATAGGTTCCATTGTAACGATATAATCAATGTTATTCACTTCAGTGGTTTTAATGCTGTCACTGATCAGTGTATAATATAAGTCAGCTTCACAAAACTATTTTTATAGCATTATAAAGGGAATCTTTATTGCCTTTCTTTCATACAATGACTTACTTGGGGACAAAAGTGCTGCCATGATAATATTCAGCACTAATGTTTGCAGTCTGACCTATACTGGAAATATTAAGTAGCTGGGAGACAAAAAAAAAACCAAAAACATAATTCGTACTGTCATAAGGCAAGCACTTTAGATGTAGCCATTATGCAATAAAAGAGGCATAAGCAACCTACTTTCTCAGAGGCAGTCATATCCATTACCATGGCTACCACTAGAATGTTCCTGATAAATGTTCTACGTTTAGAACTCAATCCAAGAATAACTGTTTATACATACAGTTGTTATCAAAATTATTCAACCCCAATTGAAAATCAAGTTTATTGTCAAATTGTTTAAGACTTTCAGCTGTTTGCAATGAATTAATCAAACAAAAACAATTGAAATAGAACAACACAACGAATGATTCAAATGGTTTCCCCAAATTCAACTGAAAATCCAACTTATGATTTCTCTAGTTAGAAATTATTCAACTCCCTTAATAGAATCTCCCACAACAACACACATATGCTAAATAGTTGTTGTCTCAAGTACACTTGATGCAACTAATATATTAGTTGAACCAGGTGTGCTTGAGCTTGAACACTTGAAATGCCTGAACTGGCTAGAGGTTGTTGAGTGTCATGTTTGACTGCATGTTAGAAATATGACTAAGTCAAAAGAATGGTCCACAAAGTGAAGGGAAGAGATCATCGCCCTTCACAAACAAGGAACAGAATACAAAAAGATAGCAAAGGCACGGAATGTTCCTAGATACACCATTGGAAGCATAGTGCACAAGTTCAAAGTTGAAGGAACAGTGGTTACACTACCTGGACAGGGCAGAACAAAGAAGCTATTAATGGGCACAACCAGATTTCTGAGAAAGCATGTTTCGAAAAACCTTTGAGTGACTGCAAAAGACCTAGAGTAAGAGTTGGTGGCAACAGGCACTGAGGTTTAAATGAGTACAGGAAGGTGTGTACTAATAACAGAAGGTTTCCATGCCAGAACTCCAAGCTGTACACCACTACTGATCAAAAAGCACAAGAAAAAAAATCTGCTTCAATACGCTCAAAATCATATATATAAGCCACAGAAGCTTTGGGATTCTTCTGTTATGTGGAGCGATTAAACAAAACTGGAACTTTTTGGCTCAATGGATCAGTGCTATGTCTGGAAAAAGAAGACTGAAGCATATTCTGAAAAGAACCCTCTGCCTAAAGCTCTGTGATTCTTTGGGGCTGCTATGCATCCTTTGGCACTGGAAACCTGAAGTGTGTGGCTTAAGGAGTACATTTCTAACATTTCTGAGTTACTATTTCAAGCGGCAAAAACCAGCACGCATAAGCATTCCCTAAACCTTAGCTCCTCTGTAGTTAGCAAGATGTGCCTATGGCACTTTGAGCTAAATGCACAAAAATTAGTTTTTCAGGTAAAATGCTGTCGGTAAAGCAATATATAAAGCCTTACTACATTATTTGCATATGAATGTGTTATATGACACAAGTCTTACACAGACAATCATATAATAAGCTTTCCACATGATTCAGTACTGTATACTGTAAGAAAAAAAAAAATTCCAAATGTTTAATCTATAGAAGTTAACATTAAAGTATATGGGGCATTTTTAGATAAATACTTTTTTCGAAGAGTATTAAATAATTTGGAAAGCATATTAAGTTGAGGCCATAATTGAAGTAATTTTCTGACTCATGGTTCAGCTCAGTAAATTTACACTTGTGAGCTGCACATATGCACAAGCTTGATGCACTAGTTAGGCATCACATTAGGCACAGTTCGGCATCTAATTAGAAACATAGAATGTGACGGCAGATAAGAACCATTCGGCCCATCTAGTCTGCCCAATTTTCTAAATACTTTGATTAGTCCCTGGCCTTATCTTATAGTTAGGATAGCCTTATGCCGTGGGGCATGCTTAAACTCCTTTACTGTGTTAACCTCTACCACTTCAGCTGGAAGACTATTCAATGCATCCACTACCCTCTCAGTAAAGTAATACTTCCTGATATTATTTTTAAACCTTTGTCCCTCTAATTTAAGACTATGTCCTCTTGTTGTGGTATTAGCTTCTTAAGATTAATGCTCTCTAAAGGAAAGGTTCAACTGAGATTTGAACTTGGATCACTGGATTCAAAGTCCAGAGTGCTAACCATTACACCATGGAACCACTGCTTAGGCATAGTTAGTTTTTATGTAAGCTTAGCAATGAAATTTACCATCAGAGTGAGCAGGATATAAGTTACTACATGCCAAGGTCATACTTGCTAACATTACTTGCCCTCTATCTGGGTTTGATGTAGGCAGGCATTGGGGGCCTGACAGGTAGCGTACTTTCATAAAAGTCATCAGATTGACTCTCATTCACACACCAGATTATGGAAACCAGAGCTATTCAATTAGATCTGAAAGTTTTAACAAAGTATGTGTTTTACAATAAAACACAAAGTTGACACTTGTGCACAAGAAAAATTCCTAACTATTTATTTTGAATAATATGTGAATTCTGCTCCATCATATATTCATTCAACCAGCATGGATACAAAAAATAAATGTACTTCCAACACATTAACCTGTGACAGACAAATTATGTAACAATCAAAGTAGTAAAGCATCTCACACGGCTAAGAGCACAGTATTGCTCTGGACCACCTATTGAATGATCCATCTGAGATTTGCAGATTGAATTTAACAAATGGTAACTGGAGAAAAGCAGAAAGTATGTGTAAAATGGATTAAATATTACTAGTACCTTTGCTTATATAATATAACATATATACAGATGCATCAAATGTTGTAGCCATATGGAACTTTTGCAATACAGAATATTTTAGCTACAACATTATCTTTTTAACAAAATGCAATAGTTTCCAAGATTCATCCATCTTGTAGGAAAATGTGTGACAATATAAGTTAAAACTCTAAAGGAGGCGTTAGAATAAATATTGATGTGCTCTACCAAAACCATAAATATGGCTGGAAAAAGACTTATGGGAGCTGTAGTCCAATAGGAATGGGGTTTCCATCTCATCCCACCTTCAGCAGAAGAGGAACATAATCTCCAATCTTCCATCTGCATGATCAGATGTTGTGTGTGCAGCAAGGGAAACCCTAATTTGGATCCCTGACCATTGCTTTTTGGTTTCTTAATGAAACTTTGTTGAACATGACAAACTTAAAAAAGTACTGATTATACCCATTTGGTTTTAAATTTTAGCAATAATGTTAAGCCTTTAGAAATAACTATGAATGTAGCTTACCATGGCTTGAGCACTGCGGTCTTCTACCCTTAAATAAGTATTGTGTTGAAATTACCCCTAGTGAACCGATAAAAGGTATAAATTATTCTGTGTAGTACCTAAAACATGTAAAATATATATTAATCATTAAACACAAACCTGGACAACATTCCTTGTTTTATAGGCTATTGCATGATTTTAATCAGCTGTTATAGCGATAAATCATTAACAAAATAAAACAATTTATCAATCAGCATTTCAGTGACAATTACTTGGGGTTCAGTCATATAATGAAGCAATCAACTGAACGTTCATTGTCTGATGTTTGAAGTCAAAGGTACTAAAGTAACAAACTCCAAGTAACAATTCAAATTTAGATTTAGCTGAAAAGCTAGGCACAAGTTAGTTATAGTCATACTTAGACACTTTCTGATTTTGCTCAACTTTGGGAAATAGGCCATTTTTTTATACTTTAAACTATATAACACACATTATACATACAGCATTAGTTATGTCATCATGTCTTTAGAAATGTCATGAGATCCAAGCTACTTTCAGAAATCTCTTAGAGGTAAAATGTAACTTCTCTAAATTCCCAGCATTTTTTATATTATGTTTATTTATTCCCTACTTTTAAGAAATATGTATCTGCAAGGTGTGAAAAATAACATTAAACATTGTAGAACTCCACACTGCTTTAATCAGGACCTGGGAGCCACCATCTTAGTTGCCTGTCAATCATTGTTAAAAAGCTCTGTTATTTGCACTTGGCAATCAGCATAGAAAAGTATATAAAAGGTATAATGAGGAGATCTTAACGGTCCCCTATAGAATTAACTGTAACTCTACGTTTGCTGTATATCTGCTGATGTGCATGTGTGGGCTACAGTATGTGGGGCAAACCATCAGACCGCTCAAATGCAGATTCAGAGAGCATAGATTATCCATTCTGCATAAAGATAGGCGATCTCCAGTTGCTTGTCACTTCGAAATATCTCACAACAGTGATCCCTCGTCCATTATAGTAATGGGAATTGACCTAATTCCGGCCAAAAGAGATCTGGCAAAGAGGAAAAACGATCTAACAAGGGCTGAATCCAAATGGATATTTAAGCTCAACTCTTTGGCCCCTAAGGACTCAACCAGGAATTGTATCAGATCAAAGTTTCATTTTTTGACTGGTGCTCAATTTTCCTGAAGTTGTAGTTTTGTTTTTATCTTTCCATTTTCCGGTCCTTTTGTGCAGTTGCACCTCACATAAATATTTTTTATTTTCTTTCAGCCAGCCTCTGTCTGCTCTGGAGGTAGAGGTACTCAGTATCATATTAGGATTTTATAATCCATTTATCATTTTCTATATTTTTTTTTATCTCTTTTTCTATATTTTCATTTTGAAGCATGTATGATCTTGTGTGCCACCTGCTGCTGCTTCATGTTTTATGTCTAAGGCATGTTTGATAGCGTGTTATCACAATTTTGATTGTTTAATGTACTAGTTATTTGTTTTAGTTCGCTACCAAACTAGGTGAACATCAATTTTCTGGTTAAAATGGCCATAAGGTCATAAGTCTAAAGGAAAGGAAAAAAATTTTTTATTAATGGTCACATTTATGATATATCCTCTCAGGTATTTTTAAAGGGACTTTTTTGCTGATGCACTATTTTTTAACAACCTTTTTGCTACATTCAGCCACTCTACCCCTTTGGTTGTGAAATATCTTAGACATCTCATCGTAGGTCATTGCACGTTGTCACCTTTAAATATCATGGTTGTGTTTTTCCCCTACCTGAGATGTTTGTCATTTATGGTCTACATATATTAGGATCTTTATTGACAACTGATTGAATCATGAGCTTTTGACTCCCTATAGAGGTAGATTTATTTTGATAAGGGGTTAAAAAGGAAACATCTGTTCTTAATTTTTATTTGATTTCATGTTTTATTAAAGGTATACATACTTTTTATATAGGAACAGATTTCTTGTCTTCTTTTATATATTGATAGCTTTGAAGCGCACATACTATATTCTGATTACATAGCAAAAGTAAAAAGACAAGGAGAAAAACAAATATTGTTTTATGTTTTCAATTTCTCCTCCTCTGCAGGAATGCAGGGTGAATCAGCATCAGCACACAGTAGTGGTATAATGGTGATTGTATTCAACTGTCAAACAAGGTGTTGCAACGTTTCGACACAAAGTGTCAAGACACTTTGGCCTCGATTTAATAATCTTTCCAAATGATTAAATTATGTTGGAAAAACATATCTACAAAAATGTCCACAGAATATAAAGGCAACTTCTGTGGTTACACCATTTGGAAAGCTAATTCAATCAAGGACTTTGTGTCAAAACATTGCCACATTTTTTAATTGCTGAATAAAATCACGATTATGCCATGTAGCTGGGTGCTGAGGGCTCTATCCTCTCTAACTGTGGTGGGTGCTCACAATGGTGGGGGACAGTAGCTGGCAAACTGTTCAAACCTATCAATTTTTAGCAAACCCTGTGGCTATGCCAACCGTATAAATTATTTAACTTCCTTATTTTTATAAAAATTGATTGTGATATGAAATGAAGAATTTTTTATGATTGAAATAGTTGTGGATATTGCATCTAAATAACTTATTTCAAAATTTCAGTTCCCCTTATTCTTATGTTCTCAACATGGTTATAAATTAGTACTGATGACTAAAATAAATATTCTTTGACTTTAGAAACAGTTTTGACTTCTAGATCTATTTTTTTTAAGTTGCTGACCTATTCTTAAATTATTCTATACTCATTCAAATGAAAGGCCAAGGGAATTTTTCAAAAGAAGCTTGCAACACTTAAGTAGAGTTTACAGAATGCACTTACACTTATATACTTCTTCATATTTTTCTTTTTGAGTTTTAAAAGTATTATTAAGCATAAAACATGAAGCATAAAATGCTCACATTTCTTTCTTCAATAAATACAATTTTTACTAAGCATATATTTTGTCTGAGTTCTTTTACTTCGCATGTATTTTGTCTGAGTTCTCTTACTTCGTATTTACCTTGGCTGTATCTCTTACGAATTTATTATATTGCAAAGTCCGTGGTGGAAGTGAGTGAACTCTTTGTAATAACTACTAATCTAATCTTGACAAAAGCGAAAACAACCATGCTCAGAGACATTTGTCGTATTCCAAAAAATATCTAATTGTTTTGGAAAAATACAAAACAAAATACTGCTAGAAAATATTTGATTTAATAACAGATACAAAACATAGGATCATTTGAACCGCCACCCCCAAAAGAGCTAACCTTCACATTTGGTTTTCTTTTTTCTTTCTTTTTTTTTCTAAATTCTGAAAAAAATGAATTTTAATTCAAGGTTGCAACATTGGAATATGTGGAAACATCTAAGGGGGTTAGTTGTTGGGAATATGGTAGCAAAAGACAATAAAATACATGAAAATGTTGGGAAAGGCACTGTACAGCATTCTATTGTAAAGCTAGCCATTCCATATTAATGAACAAAATGGATTGATGCCACTAATACATGCATCCTGTCCTTTTATCCGAGGGCTAGATGTATGAACTGTGCTTTACCCAAAGTTACTAACAGCCTAGTACTCAAAGTGGATATGTTAATATCTTTGCATATTTCCCCAAAACACATATGGTGTTGGCTGTATTTTTATGAAATACTGAAAAGTTATATATCCACTTTAATATAGATTATTTTACAATTTAAACATATGTTGATCAAACAGCGTGGTTTGTAAAGTTAATCTTAAACTATTCCACAAAGACCAAGTGACATCAACAAAGTAATATTAAGCATATTCTCTTATGAAGAAATGGACTCCTTATAATATTTATCTTGTGTGTTTATTCTCTAAAAATAATGATACGTCCAAACATATTCTACCTAAAGCTAAATTAATTAAAATTAATCAGCGATCTCTTCTACCCAAGATGTCGTATGCTAAAATTCCTATGGGTAGGTAAAAGAGCCAGACTGTCCACTGATTTGATTCTCCACCAAAGAAACTCAGGGCACTTGGGTGTTCCTGATTCTGTACAATTCTACAGAGCTACACAACTTACTCAAGCTTTGAAATTTAATTCTCCACCCAACACATACTGTTGGGTTGATAATGAAGAAAAATTATGCACACCTCTAAAAATGTCAAACTTACTCAACTGCACAAACCTATGCCCTCAAGTAAATCAGCAGTGATCCCTGTAATAGGTAATCCTAAATGTCACTGTAACGGCACCCCCAGGCATAAAAGGGGTTAAAAGCCGTTTAGGAGATATTCCCTTCCAGATATACAGTCAGCTACTGTAGACACCAATCAACCGAACCGGAGACGCATGTAAATGCTCTCAAACATACGAATGCTGTAAACAGCCGAATAGGAAAAAACATACGAAAGGTTTACACTCCTAGCAGTCGAACTGGAACAGCATACAATAAACCCCCCCAAGAACGAGACAAGACTCCGTGTTGAGAGTCAAACAGGAACAGACAGAGCTGTGGGTTTATTGTTCTTATATACACATTCTTACACATTAGTACCACCCACAGGGTTTTGTACAACAACCAATAAACATGTACAATACACTCAGACACTCCCACACAAAATCCTCCCCTCTGCACAGTTTTACACAATATTCATAACTTATGTGAAAGTGATGCATTATTACTTACATTTTCAGAATCAGCATACTCCAAATACAAACATACATCAAAATCATACAAATTGGTCCAGTGGGACAAAAATTAGATCAAAGTCCTTTGTGACCAAATGAAGCATGGCTTTTCTGCCCAAAACCAGTTCCACAGAGTCTTCTATCCTGGAGATAATTGGGAAGTAATCCAATTATCTTCAAGGACAGAGGCAGAACTCCATTGAACACATGGTAGCAAAAGACAATAAAATACATGAAAATATATAACTGTGCAGCTATTGCATAAAACAGGTACATTTAACATATCCCCAGATAGCTTAGCTCAGAGCGCACATTATTACAGAATGGCACTCAGATCACATACATACAGTTCAATTGCCATGAAGCCAAAGTCTTTCACATAGTCTTTCGTTATACGAATGGGCTCCATGGCATAGCTATCTGGGGTACCACTGTTCAAATAAGGCAAGTACCGAATGACCTGGTTTTCGTGTCTTTGCAGGGGAAAATCAAGTGTTTCAACATGGGGCCATAGTCTAAAGGTAGCAGGCGGGCAACCAGGCTCCTCCAAAGCACAGTGGCGAGATTGGTCTCGTCACAGTCACCTTAAAAGTTGCAGGACGAAAGATGATTTTCGCAGAGAAATAATCTGGTGGCCGTGGGTCATTTTGCTCAATCGCTCACTGATGAGAATATGATAATAAACAAATCTATGCCTCAATCAGAACTGAAAAATCTTGGAAATAGCTTTTCTCGTGTGCTTGCCACATACCGTGAATCGGAACCATATGATGTCAGTTAAACGTTTATACAAGTTAAATTTTTTCTGATAGTGGGTCAATATTAACAATCCACAGCTTTTTATCAAATACGTTTTTTATGACGGAAAATGGCATTCCAGAAATTTAGGCAACATGATATTGGAAGAGAGATGGGCGAAAATATTCTCAAATTGTTACAAATGATCTATCTGTAATACAGTCAAGCTAAATGGATATAAATGCATATGTAGATGGTCCATATTGTCTTCCACATCTCTTCCAAAAGAGATCTTTGTGTCCGAGAGATGTGTTTTTCACACCAATATTTCCTGATGCTATTTTGGCTCTACTAAATGGCAACCACTCAGCGATGCACTTATGTTATGCCACATAGTCCTTTTGCCATATGATTTATACTGCTGGAAGATTATATATTACTAAGAGATGGAAGATCCCACAATAGACTATGTATTAGAAAAGGGAATTTCATACAAGATATGGAAGAAATGCCAGCTTAGCTTAAAGGCAATCTAGCCTCCCACAATAAAATTTGGCGACCATGGATAGAATATTAAGTTAGTGAAATGGCCTATTCCACTTACTATATCCCCTCCTTCACCCCTCTCCACATTTTTACTCTTCCTTTATTTCTCTGTATATTATGTTTAGTAAGAGTGGCTTTATCCTCTGGATCATGTGTCCTGAGCCACTATCTCTCGAGTTTATGACCTGTTCTCTTCATTTCTCTGATGGTGTGATCAAACCACAGTGCATTGTTGTGGGTGTTGCCAGTGCATATGCGTGTTTGTGCAGTGATTTCTAGGGTATCTCTCATGGTTTTGTTGTAGAGTCGGACTAAGGAGCTGGGGTCTTCACAGGTGCTGAGTTTTTTGTTCTGTATTTTGGAAACAGTGTGTCTTCTAATGGGGATCACACAAAGAGGTTTCATTGATTTGATAGTACGGTTTTTGTGGCTTCTAGGTTGAATCACTTCAATTGGGGTTGCAAGTTAACGCTGACTTAGAAGCTTTGAAATTAAAACATTTCTAAATTGGCTTATACAAGAGTTAATCCTACATATGATAATAGCTGGTAATATTCCTGACGTAAACCAACAGCTCCACCTGCTATTTGAAACATATAGAAATATATATCAAAATGAGGTCAGCAGCCATTAACATAAGACTTGCCCCAAAATTCCCATTAGACTAGGTCAGAAAATTAACAGATAAGGAATGACATAACCCCATGACACAGGGATAGAACAAGAAAAGAAAAAGAAAGGAGAAGCACGATGATCTCTTGAAATCCCTGGACATCTGACAATCTAGAAGATCTTGAAACAATCTTGACTGGGAAACAAATTGGTATCATGAAATAAAGAGAGAATATCCAGAGTTACCCAGATTAATATTAATCAGATAGCAAATCTAGGAAATATTTATCAGATAAGAATTATTTTAACTAAACATGCAAGAATTTAGTTACTGAATGGATTAATTAATCATAATGAATTACTCTGTGAAACAGCAATGAGCTAATAAAAATCCTGTATGAGTTAAAAACTTAAACTGACTTGTCAGCACTTGTCTGTGGCTAGCTGATTAAACATTGTCCATAGAACTTTGTGTACAGATAACTTGAGTAATTTACAATCTATGTCCAGTTAAGTCTAATGAATGTTTACAATGGACAAACAATACACACGTTGTAAGTCTACTAAGAGAAAAACTAAGATTGTGTTCCTTAAGATTCTGAAAAATCTGCCTTTAAATTATAAGAATCCATATGCTGATTACTCATATGGTTCTTTATAATTTAACAAATAGTGACATACTATTTGCTGATTGTCTCAATCAATTGTATATGAAGTAAAACGTTCCATTTGCTAACCCTGTTGAAATTGTCATGGACGAACAATTCCATCACTCTAACAAAGTTTGAAATTGCTTTACTGTGATTGTGATACTGAATTATGCCATATTTTATTCAATGTTATTGAAAACTGTTCACTAATTATCATGTATATTTACACGTGTTTATTTTGTTGTTGTGCACAAAATGAACAAACAGCCTCAGTACGCCACAACAGCGGTATCAAGGTATAGAGGAGTACAGTATGCAAAACAAATTGTGACGTTTGAAATGTAGGCACGTTTTTTGTTATTAGGTAAAGGATAGCTAAGTCAGGATAGTGAGTTCAAGAGTGGTATGTTAGATTAATCTGACATTTAGTGTTACTTAGGTAAATCATGAGTAGTCAAATATGTGTGTTATGTAGCTTACACATTAATTATAAGAACTGCGAGCTGAGTTAAACACATTTGCTAGGTAAGAAGAATACATTGCTGTGGCAATGAGTATACTAGCACAGTTTATAACAAGGTAAATACAAATGTTATGGTTTGCTATGAACACGATTGATACAGGCTAGGTATGTTGATCCAGGTTTTGGGACTGCCTAAAAGGCTCAACACTAGGTGTACCTTCTGAACATTTTACAGTTGCAAGAAAAAGTATGTGAACCCTTTGGAATGATATGGATTTCTGCACAAATTGGTCATAAAATGTGATCTGATCATCATCTAAGTCACAACAATAGACAATCACAGCCTGCTTAAACTAATAACACACAAAGAATGAAATGTTGCCATGTTTTTATTGAACACACCATGTAAACATTCACAGTGCAGGTGGAAAAAGTATGTGAACCCTTGGATTTAATAACTGGTTGAACCTCCTTTGGCAGCAATAACTTCAACCAAACATTTCCTGTAGTTGCAGATCAAACGTGCACAACGGTCAGGAGTAATTCTTGAACATTCCTCTTTACAGAACTTTTTCAGTTCAGCAATATTCTTGGGATGTCTGGTGTGAATCGCTTTCTTGAGGTCATGCCACAGCATCTCAATCGGGTTGAGGTTAGGACTCTGACTGGGCCACTTCAGAAGGTGTATTTTCTTCTGTTTAAGCCATTCTGTTGTTGATTTACTTCTATGCTTTGGGTCATTGTCCTGTTGCAACACCCATCTTCTGTTGAGCTTCAGCAGGTAGACAGATGACCTTACGTTCTCCTGCAAAATGTCTTGATAAACTTGGGAATTCATTTTTCCTTCGATTATAGCAATCCGTCCACGCCCTGATGCAGCAAAGCAGCCCCAAACCATAATGCCCCCACCATCATACTTCACAGTTGGGATGAGGTTTTGATGTTGGTGTGCTGTGCCTTTTTTTCACCACACATAGTGTTGTGTGTTTCTTCCAAACAACTCAACTTTGGTTTCATCTGTCCACAGAATATTTTGCCAGTACTGCTGTGGAACATCCAGGTGCTCTTGTGCAAACTGTAAACGTGCAGCAATGTTTTGTCTGGACAGCAGTGGCTTCCTCTGTGGTATCCTCCCATGAAATCCATTCTTGTTTAGTGTTTTACATTTTGTAGATTCGCTAACAGGGATACTTCTTCACCTCATTCAGCAGACTACGCTGTGCTCTTGCAGTCATCTTTATAGGATGGCCACTCCCAGGGAGAGTAGCAGCAGTGATGAACTTTCTCCATTTATAGACAATTTGTCTTACCGTGGACTGATGAACAGCAAGGCTTTTGGCGATACTTTTATAACCCTTTCCAGCTTTATGCATGTCAACAATTCTTAATCGTAGGTCTTCTGAGAGCTCTTTTGTGCGAGGCATCATTCACATCAGGCAATGCTTCCTGTAAAAAGCAAACCCAGAACTGCTGTGTGTTTTTTATAGAGCAGGTCAGCTGTAACCAACACCTCCAATCTCATCTCATTGATAGGACTCCAGTTGGCTGTCATCTCACTCCAATTAGCTCTTGGAGATGTCATTAGTCTATGGGGTTCACATATTTTTTCCACCTGCACTGTGAATGTTTACATGGTGTGTTCAATAAAAACATTGCAACATTTCATTCTTTGTGTGTTATTAGTTTAAGCAGACTGTGATTGTCTATTGTTGTGACTTAGATGATGATCAAATCATATTTTACGACCAATTTGTGCAGAAATCCATATCATTCCAAAGGGTATACATACTTTTTCTTGCAACTGTATATATATTAGATTATACAGATTGTTAGGCTATGAACCTGTTATTGCAAGAACATAAGCATGTCTAACTATTAGGCATTTTCCATGCGGTGTATGAACAAGCTAGGCAGATAATAACACAGGCATAGTTTGCATAATCAAAGTACCTATGATAGCGTTGGTACTCTTTGCCCGCTGTGGAGTGACCACATCGGTTAATAGTGGAAAACATTTTAAACATTTATCGGGATGTAACAAGCTTGTGGTGTGTGAAAGTTATTTGGTTAAAGCTTACAATATAATGGGTTGTGTCCACTGGTTTTGTGGAGATGGAAACTCCATACAGCTTGATGATAACTTCGGTGGCTAGATGGCTATCAGCCTGTAGACATGCACATAGCAGGTGTTGCTGGCAGGGGCGTATTAGCCGCGAGGCAAACAAGGCATTTGCCTTGGGCGGCATTTTTCAGCGGGCGGCAAAAAACGCCGCCCCCCAAATGCCCAGGGCAGATGCCTAGTTAGCCTTGCGGCTAACTGACATCCCGAGCGGGCGTGCGGCGCTGGCAGGCGGGCGGCCGGCGAGGGAGCACTTCCCATGAGCTGACTGCTCAGCTCCCTCGCGCACCGCAAAGTGAGGCTGGGAGCCGGAAGATGACGTCATCTTCCGGTTCCCAGCCTCACTCTGCAGCCGACGCGCGAGGGAGCTGAGCAGTCAGCTCATGGGAAGTGCTCCCTCGCCGGCCGCCCACCTGCCAGCGCCGCACGCCCTGCAGCCACTGGACCACCAGGGAGAGAGACCCCCCCCCAGCACTCCCAAAGGTAAGGAGGTTGGGGGGGGATTTAAATTAAAAAAAAAGTTAATGTGTGTGTGTTTGTGTGTGTGTGTGTGTGTGTGTTTGTGTCTGACTGTGTGTGTGTTTGTGAGTGTGTGTGTGTGTGTTTGTGTCTGTGTATGTGTCTGACTGTGTTTGTGTGTGTGTATGTGTCTGTGTGTGTTTGTGTGTGTGTTTGTGTCTGACTGTGTGTGTTTGTGTCTGACTGTGTATGTGTGTGTGTGTGTGTGTGTGTCTGACTGTGTGTGTGTGTGTGTGTCTGACTGTGTATGTGTGTGTGTTTGTGTCTGACTGTTTGTGTGTGTGTCTGACTGTGTGTGTGTTTGTGTATGTGTCTGACTGTGTGTGTGTGTGTTTGTGTCTGACTGTGTGTGTGTGTGTATTTAGAAGGTGGGGCGGGGGGAAGGGTTGGGTGGGGGTGGCGCGGGGGGGAGGGGGGCGCCTGAGTTTTGTCCTGCCTAGGGCAGCACAAAACCAGGATACACCACTGGTTGCTGGTCAGGTGTGCGCTTTACAGGCATTACCACCTTAAAGCAGGATAGTTATACATTTAGGTATGGGTTTTTACGCCTCTCTTGTCTATATAGTGGACAGAGGTCTTGGGGGGGGGTTTGCCTCTTTGCGGGAGCTATACCTGTCGGTAGGCATGTAGTGACAGGTATGTTGTGTACTAGAAAAACAAAGAAAACGAGGAACATGAACAGTGGTATCAGGTAAACATAAACATAGCCGTGCCAGTCTGAATCCTAAGGTCTCTCTGGGCTTCACGTAGTGGCAGCTGCATACGATTCTGTTGTGGGTCGGTGTGGGGTGAATGGAATGATTATGGCAGGGTCCCAATTGTGCGGGTGCCTAGAAGCGGCCTGCGACTGGGGCCTTGTTAGATAGTCCTGTGGTAGGTCCAAGTTCCTTAGGAGCGCCGTTGCATCTTCCAGGTCCTGGAGAGGATATGTAGTGTCCCCATGTGTCCCCAGGAGCGTGCAGGACATGCGCCAGTGGTATCCGATGTTTTGCTGTTGGAGAAGTGTGGTAAGAGGCTTGAGTGACCACTGCCAGGCCAGTGTGCTGCCAGAGAGGTCAGTGTAAAATGAAATATTAAATTCTAAGTCTTAGAGTTAAAATAGTGAGTAACTCTTCGCTTTTAAAATAATAATTGGGAATAGCGCCAATAAAATATCAACCGCTGATATTTTAATGAAGATTATTAATTTTAATAATTTTTATGAAAATATTATTTTTAATTAATAAAAAATTATTAATAATTCATCCCCATAAATATCCTCACAATAGCTAACATATATGCCCCTAACAACAACCAAAAAGATTTTTTAACCCTGGTCCTATCCAAAATTGATCAAATACAACAAGGTTTGCTAATCCTTGGGGAGGGGGGTGGGGACTTCAACTGCCTTCAAAACCCCTTAGTTAACTCCACCTTGGACAGTAAGAGTAAAAAAGCTGACAAAACTGGCCAAACAATTGACCTCACTTTTTTTACTCTTACAACCTCTATGATGTCTGGAGGTTGCACAACCCAATGGACAAAGCTTACACATACTACTCCTGGGTACATAACTGTTATACAAGGATAGATCAATACTATATCAAAGGCACACACCTTGAGAAAGTCACAGCCTATGAGATAGGGAATATTGAATGGTCGGACCACACCCCTGTTACACTCACGTTGTTGGACAAATTTTCTTTTAAGAACAAGCTCCTCTGGTGACTGAATGAGTCTCTTCTCCAAACCCCCAAATACTCACAAAAGTGTTAACGAAGATAACTCTGTATTTCTCCACTAACAATACATCTGAGGTGAGACTAGACATAGTTTGGCTGGCTCACAAAGCGGTCGTGAGGGGACTGTTTATTAAACAGGCAGCTCATATCAAAAGGGCATCCCAATTCTAAGTTGGTGAAATGGGAAGAAAGGCTACAGGACCTGAAAAAGCCAAAACAAACAAAACCCACTAAGCGCCTTAGAAAGGAAATACTGCAGACCCAATATAAGATCCAGGAGGCATACTTGCAATGTACTAGTTTCCTGTTAAAGACTAAAGCTTTTCCACTACACACAGGTAAATAGAGCAGAGAAAATATTAGCTTCCGCGCTGAAAGATATCCACGCTAGATCCAAAAATCCCCTATATTAAAACAGATGCTAATGTTAAGGTCATTTCCCCAGCATCCATTAGCAATGAGTTTGCTACCTTCTATGAGACGCTGTATAACATACAAAAAGGGACAAAAAAGCACCCCTCTACTGTAACTGAATCCACAACATTACTAGAACACATACAGACATCTACACTCTCCTCCACTCCAAGAGAGCTTCTGTCAGAACCAATTACCATAGAAGAAATTGAGGCAGCTATTCAAAACCTCCAAGCCAACAAAACACCAGGCCTAGATGGCCTTTTAATCATTTACTATAAAAAAATTTGCAAAACCTTAGCCCCCTCACCTGCTCTGTTTATTTCACAATGCAATCCAACATTCTAAACTGCCCCAAGACATGATTGCCGCAACGGTGATTAACCTCCCAAAACCAGGTAAACCCCTAACAGGCTGTAGAAACTTCAGGCTCATATCTTTGCTAAACTCAGATCCACAAAACATTAATGCACCCTGACCAATATGGATTTGTGAAAGGTAGACAAGGGACAGACAACACGAGGAGAGTGCTGGATATTATGCATTCAATGAAGAAACAAGGGACAAAGGGGCTCATGCTTTACCTAGACGTGGAAAAGGTGTTTGTCTGTTTGAGCTGGAATTTCCTTGAAGTGGTAATAAGGAATTTTCAATAATGTCCTTACGCGTTTCGTGAGTCTGCTGCTCACTTCATCAGAGGATGTTGAGCAGGAGAGACCCACGGGTTTAAATAGCCAGTGGTTACTTTGGCTTTTGTTAACCCTTTCAGGCTGAAATCCATACTTGCTCTGTCTCATAGTATATTTCACAGTTGTAATTCACAATTATAATTCATATAAGTTCTAAATGTTTTTATACACATATTTTTGAATAACTTTAATAGTGAAAAAGATACAAATGAATAAAAAATAATAAAAAATAAAATACATTTTACACTAAAACTTTCAATTGCAACATTTTTTTAATGAAAAAGGATTCTAGTTCATTAAAAGACTCTATTGGAATGTCTGATAAAATAGATGTGTCAGCATATTTTTCAAATAGTATAATTTCCATGCAATGCATTTGTAAAGATCAGTGGATACCAGTTAATCTAAATAATTAATATAGACATATTATTGGAAAAAGAGATTTCATAACTCATTAAAAAAATTTTTACATATACATACGAAAATAATTCTATATAAGAGAACAATAGTGTTATATTATATAGGAGACTGATATGAAGGAGAAATCATTTGAACTAAAAAGAAGAATAATTCATTGATTGAATAAAAATATAAATAGACATAAAAAAAGAATACTTAATTTTATAAAAGGTATTCTAAAAATTGTTTTTATAAAAATGCTCGCAACTCAAAATCTACATTTAATCCCTTTGGTTCTAATGTTTCTAATTTAAATATCCAACTTGCCTCTGCTTTATCTAATTCTTTTTCTAAATCGCCTCCTCTCCATGGGATATTGACTTTTTGTATTGCCATAAAGTTGAGACCTCCAGGATTTTTTGCATGTTTAATGTCAAAGTGTTTGGAAAGATTATGAGAATGGAGTCCTTTTTTGATGTTCCTGATATGTTCTCCCATTCTTATTTTAAATGTTCTTTTTGTGCGTCCTATATATAGTTTTTCACATGGACATTTTAATAGATAAATCACACCCTTTGTGTCACATGTTAATTGCGATTTAATTTTAAAACATTCTTTTGTTTGGGGATGGGCAAATTGTGTGGTTTTAGTTGGCTGATTTGGATTATTATTACAGGCTTGACATCTTCCACATTTCCAGAAACCTAAGGTTTTCTTTGAAATATTATTAATTTCTTGTATTTTTTCTTGTTTAGTTGTTGGAGCTAATAGTAGACTTAGATTTGGGGCTTTAGAATATATAATTCTAGGTCACTTTTCCAATATTTGATCTAGTTGAGGATCCCCTTTTAAAATATTCCAATAGTCTTTTAATGAACTAGAATCTTATATATCAAAGTCCTTTTTCATTAAAAAAAAAAATTTTGCAATTGAAAGTTTTAGTATAAAATGTATTTTATTTTTTATTATTTTTTATTCATTTGTATCTTTTTCACTATTAAAGTTATTCAAATATATGTGTATAAAAACATTTAGAACTTATATGAATTATAATTGTGAATTACAACTGTGAAATATACTATGAGACAGAGCAAGTATGGATTTCAGCCTGAAAGGGTTAACAAAAGCCAAAGTAACCACTGGCTATTTAAACCCGTGGGTCTCTCCTGCTCAACAACCTCTGATGAAGTGAGCAGCAGACTCACGAAACGCGTAAGGACATTATTTCACTTTCTGGCACTTACCATAAAGACGAACAGGCTGTATCTGGAACGCAGGAAGATCAGTGACACGCACGCGGCTCCCAGCATCATCTGCCGGCAGGACCAGCACCTAACAGCTGCTAACACCATACTTTCCCGATTCCAGCTCAGCATATTTAGCTCTTTGCTCAATTGTAAGTGCAATCTTAATTTTATTCTGTGGACAATAAATCTATTCATTTTTAACACAGAAAGCATCTTTGCATTAGTCTCTGCAAGACCGGAGGGATTTTCTTCCTATTATACTGCAAGTCACTAATTATGACCTGCTAGTGATTATTATTTCTTTTTTCACAAGTACATAAGTATGTTTGCTAATCACTATTGCTATATTTGCAATCAAATATATTTGTACTATACTAATTCAGCTAATTCAGCATCCACTATTCCAGTTTGTTCATAACTGGTAAAAGCTGAAACAGCTAACATTATTCACGGACTGTTATGAACTTTTATTCTAAGTGATACAATTGTATTAATATAAGAACATTCTGTCTACTATTGGATTTATTGCAACAATAGCATATTTATATCATTTGTTTTATATATGCTCTTCATTTATATGCTATTCTAAGCTTATAAAAAGATAGCTGCATGGGACAGGTGGGAAGAATGGGTGGGGTGCCAGGCTGAATCCAAGTAACGGAGACCCATTCTCAGTTGACTTACAATAAGACGCAACTAAGGGCAGGGTCTAGCCCCTCTGCCTCCCCCGCCTGCATACCAGATAAAAACCCATAAGGACTGATAGTAACACCTCCTCTCACCATCTCTACCTCCATGTCCTACATCGGTAATTAACCTTCTTCTATCTCGCCCTTTCTTCTTTTTCCTACTTTACTTATTTCTCACTAGATTCTTCAAATCCAGCCTGGCGCTATGAAATCCTTCAGAAAACCTGGTTTCCTAAATGGTACTGAGAGAGACGGGCTCTCATACACCAGTAAGTTGTTATATTATTATGTGGGTGAATAGGCCTGTTCAGGGTGGTTTGAAGCTCAAAGGCCTGGCCATATGCAATTCAGAAAGACAACTGATTACTGGTTAGGAATGTTAACGCATAACGCAAAAAGTTGAATATAAACCTGCTGTTAAAATACGAATGACTTTATGGCATCACCTTGTATTGGTATTGTTATGCAAATGTTCCTCTGTTAATCCTGTGTATACAATCATCACCGGAATAAAGAAATAAAGACATTTTTTTTTTTTTAAAAAAGGGTCTGTGATAATGTTGACATTATCAACTTTGTATTACATCTCTCTTTTCAATAAGAAAAATTTTATTAAAAAAACAAAACTTTGGTTAGCTGGACCATTGCATGGAAAAACAATGCATAATAGGCTGGTTTTACTGGTACTTTGTTTTCTTATTTGTGCTTTTGGTCTTTTATTCATAAAAATGAAAAAAGTTATAAATCTAAATAGGGCCCAACATGTCCCATCACCTTTATAGTATCAAGGAATTTGATACATGGCATAGTAAGCAGTGATTGCTAATCAGATTTTTGCAGAGCATACTGGTGGTATTTAGAGAACGTTCAAATATTTGATATAAAGTTTAGTCAGGGCCGGTGCTAGGATTTTTGACTACACAGGCGAAGATGCATTTTGACGCCGTCCCCGCACTCCAAAAACCCAATGCATCTTCACCTCTGTCTCTCGTAGCCCCCTTTTGAATTTCTTACCCCCATTAGTGTTGCATATCCACTCTCTTGAATGTCCCTTTGTGCCTTACACCCTCCTTTAGTGTGTCTCCTACAACCCCTCTTATGTATTTATTACTTCCCCGCCAGCCCCTTTCTGTCTCTTTCTTCCCCCCAGCCCCTATCTATCTCTCTTTTTATCCCATATAGACATAGATACAGACAAAAATACATACATGCACAAATACAAAAACATACAGACACACAACCATACAAGCACATAGACATAATTATTCAGGCACACAGTCACAAAGATTTAAAGGGACACAGTCATAAAAGGCACACAATAAAATGAACACAGTCATACAATCTACACATACAGATACATTGTCGTACAAACACAGACATACATTCATACAGACACAGGCACACACAGAAATACAGACACAGACATAAAGAAACATAGAGGTAGGCATATAGAGACATACATACACACACACACAAAGACACACTAACAGACAGACACACACACACTGACAGACATAGATACACACAGACACACTGACAGACAGACACTGACAGACAGACATACACACAGACAGGCATACACATACACACACACACAGATACACACACATGCTGGGCAAAATATACACTTTTCTAGCCACTCTCCTGTTTCCTACTTTGTGGGATCAGGAGGGTGGCTTACCTGGGATCCAGAGTGCTGCCTGAGGTAGTTGGGAGTTGGAGGAGCTAGTCCTGCTCAGTGCCCAGCCCCCCTCTTCTCTGCCTTATGCTGCTCTCTGCTGTACGCTGTGCGCTTCCCTCCTGCCGGCCACCCGGACATTTGCGCCCCCTGGCCGGTGCGCCCTAAGGCGGCCGCCTGTGCCGCCTTATGGACGCGCCGGCCCTGAGTCTAGTTATATAAACCCAAAGGGATGTGTAATTAACTTTGTAACAGAAGAGGTATAAAACATGTTTAATTCCTTTCATGAAAAACAAGTCTAAAACCCAGTTATTTTATATCAATATCGACTGAATCTAAAAATAATACCATAATAAAGAAGATACTTTTTAAGTCACAAACATAACTTTCAAAGTCAAAGCTGCTAATTAGTCTTGTAGTTTTTAAAGAACGTTTTGTGTTTGAACTAAAAAACTCAAAAGCACACACTGATCAGAAATTTGCTCCAGTTAAATGTTTGTGAAATGCCTCCGTAAATTAAAAATCCTTTAACTTTCTACAATAATACAATAAGCTTCCACTGCCAATATTTCAATATATTTTGATTATTGTGGCCTCCAAAATAGCAACAAAAAAGGGATACTTTATCGTCAACCCTGGGCAGCAGGACAAAAGAAAGAATCATACAAAGCAAAGGCCAGATACTCGAAAGCAGACCACAAATTATGTATATCTTTTGCAGTGCTCCGCAAGGTGCATATATATTTATATAGTAACCAATATATTAGAAAGGGGAGGAGCATTAAAATATATTTATTTATATATTAATATATTTATTCAATATATAATACATAAATATACCCTATTTACTCAAATCTAATATGCCGCTTTTTTGGAAAATAAAGTTCCCAAAATTTGAATCTGCGTTAGATGCAATGGTGCATTAGATTCAAGTAAATACGGTATGTATTTTTTCACAACTCCTACATTCTCTCCTTTTATTTGTCACTTTTCACTTAAACTGTGTAATAAAAATCAACATTTAGTGGCTGTCCTCTAGCCATCAATCATCTTTTATTTCCAATTACACAGCTCTTTTCTTCTTTTTTGGGGGGGGCACCGTGGGCAGAACTAAAAATACGGAATCAAAGTAATATGTTCGTCCACCTCACTAGTCGTTTGTTCTGTTATATATTGGCATGGCACTTCGGAGATACGAAATTTTGCTGTAAAGCCAATCGGACCAAATTTAGCCGATGTACAAGTCTGGTTTAAAATAACTATAGGTTATCTGCGGCAATCCAAATGTTTACTATCTACAACTGCTGGGATTTTCTGACAGTAAGGAATGCCCAGGTTGTGGCAGATTGATGGTTGTCAAAGTTAGTCAAGTGCCTATGCCAGCTTTATAAAAACTATAATTTTCAAGAACAATTCTATACATATAGTGACATAACTCAATGACAGCACAGTGTGGATGAAGGAGTGTAAGGTATTAATATTTCACATCTGTCATTGTTGCTTCATCTCCCAACTTCCTCACCTGTTCTAGGCAGTGTGCCAACAAAGTCGATTGAGTCACGCCGCCCACTCAGACAGCAGCCACATCCTCCGCACCTGCTGCAAAACACACAAGCACTACTCCTTTCTCAGTGATCCATTCATCATTCATTTTTGCATAAATTAAAAAGTACATTTTATTAGATAAGACTGAGCAATGGTGATAACTTTGAGCTGCATGGATTTACCACGCAGGAAAGTGTTACTACTACTGTTAAGGGTAATTCACTTTGCTCTTCAAGCCAAACTTATTAAAGTGAACCTGCCAAGATCACTTTAAGTGATAACATCTCCTTAAAGGAAAACAAAATGTCACCATGTAATAATGCATGTACTATGGTCTATGTATATTATTTTGCATTGCATACATGCAAAATGGCTTGTTTTTTTCAGTGCATCTCCTAGTTTACCCTTGCTTTATGTCACAACATTATTTAAGAACTAGCAATCAATAGCTGATGTTTACTTATCAAGCTGTGCTAAAATGTTGAAAGTGATTGTTTCTCTTTAAGTCCTCTTTGATCAGATGCGTGAAATTATTATCCATTGCACCTGTGTGTCAACAGAGTAGCATTTGTTAATCTCTTCCCATATACTTTAGTCATAGAACAAGACATGCTCGACAGAAGACTTATCGCAGCAACTACAGTGCATGCACTGGTAGCAAAGTCCTGAATGCTGAGAACTGATTGGCAAAAAAAAAAAAAAAAACAGCAATAAATTTGCTACCAATTATGTCAGCAATTTATGATCCTTAATTTAAGTTGTGTAATTATTTATGACAGGCACACTTTTTATGACAGGCACAAAAGGCATTTTCTCTAGAAAGAAAACAATAATGCAACAACAAATGCACTCACCAAGGCTGTCCAACTTGATGCCCATGGCCATAGTAGACAAACAGAGCTCAATTTTAATTTGGCACAAATACATGTGTAAACACATTCAATGGCACGGAGGCAGAGAAATCCAGAGAAACGATACAGTATAGCAGACTGGATTCCAGATCTGAACAGTGTGACTTCTCGGACAGTTGGGATTCATGATGATAGAAAAGAGGGACAAAGGGATTTGGATTTCAAAGAGGAATTGTCCCACCAAAAGTAAACTAATGTATACTGCAAAATATCATGGAGGATTTGCAGTTGTTTAATCCTACAATTAATGTCAGAAACATATTATTGTATTGCAATTTGCATCCAATTCAAACTTCTCACATTTCCCTCACTGCAAGAGTTTTGCAATTACATTTTTCTAACACTCTGTGTTTAAAATCCCCCATTGCAGAAGGAATATGTGCCATCCTCACAGCAGCTACTATGCAACAATAAAATCATCTCTCAGAAGACCTCTTTAAAATGAGCCCATTGACCTAATAGTACCAGAAAGAAAAACTAAACTAAATTAAAAAAAACCTCATAAGGCGGGTGAAAAAAACTGATGTAGAGACACACATACTCATAGCACCAATATAGACAGGAAGTATCAGTAGAGCAGGGCATCCTCCTACTAGGCCTTTGGCCACTTGCAATTCCATTGGGCATGTTTATACCAACGAACAGACATGTATGATTGTACGTACCTACAGTATAGACCCAACCTCGATAATCGTTGCCAAATGTCTTGCAACTTCCAAAGCTATAAGTGTGTTTGTTGGGATTAAGCTTGGTTGCATGGATTATGCACTCAAAGTGATATCAAAATGTACTGAATCAGACAACTGTCTCTAATGTGATTGTGAACTGTATGCTTCTATTTGATGACCCTACTAAAAGCGGCAAAAAATAAAGAATTAAAAAATATATTTTTTTAAAAGAGCCCATTGACACTCTGCCAACAATAATCCGCACATACAGTGCCCTCCAATAATAATGGCAGCCTTGGTAAATATGACCAAAGAAGGATGTGAAAATTGTCTCTTGTTTAACCTTTAGATTTTTTGTTTAAAACAAAAGAAATGGGGGGCGGAGTTTGACAGCCAAACTTAGCGGACGCACCTCAGCCGAGCTCTGGAATAAATAATCTTAAAACAAGCAAAACTACTGCAAAAACTGCATATTCCAAGCTTTTCAACCCCAGGAATAGGGGTATACAATCGAGATGATGCACTACCGAGACATTGACCTAAAAAGGCGACCGCTTCCAGGGGAGGGACCTGAGGCCTACCTGCGGCCTACTCAGAAAGCATGTGGGAGACGGCCGATCCCTCAGCCGACTGCAGCCTACTTTAATGAAGGTCTACCCGGAACAACCTCTCCCCCCACCCCCACCAGCGAGGGATATCCCGGCATCCAGAGCATGCAGGTTAGGACGGAGGTACCGACCCCAGCTCACCTGCACCATCGGGCCGCAGACTCACAGCAATGTGGACGCCACATAGGTCCCGGCATCTGAGCCCAGTTTGCCACCAGTGTCAGAGCGGTTAGACCTCTTATTCAATGACTTCTGGGCCAGGATTGCCAGCCGCAGAGACACCGTGATGAAAATCCCACCGGCACCAGCTACAGAGGACACTGCACAAAAGCCAGCAATACCGGTGCGGACCCTGAGAGAGACCGGGACAGTGGGGAGAGGACAGCGGAAGAACCGTCGACGGCTCCAGAGCCCGACTCATAGGCCACTGGTGAGTTGCCCAAAGCCCCAATGGAGACGATCTCCAGGGCTGCCACAGGACCATCCCTCTCTCCCGCATAAGGCCTCTCCTAAGAACCGGCCCCGCACTCTCAGGGTCCACCTCAGAACAACACCCCTTAGGGTCTACAGATCAATATAGGACTCCCTAACACTCACCGCCCTAACCCACCAGGAGACAAAGGGACAGCAAGGGGCCAATGCCAAGCCCAACGATCAGGGACACCCGGTCCCCTAATTCCCCCACATGGCAGCTCCAACACCAGCATGACTCTGGGATCTGCAGGGAAAGGCCCACCAAACAGGATCGCATGCCTACAGACCCCCCCAACGTCTGACATATCAGCAATGGAATCTACTGCGGGTACTCACCTCACTGGACCGGCTGCGTGGCCCCACCGGATGGGACTTGAACCTACCCCTGAAATACATAGGCTGAGGGAAACCAGGACTGTCCAAGTGTGCGACACCAGGCCCAACACCTGGACGTAAAACTCTGCATACTCACATGCAAACGCTATCTGGACTCCCACGCCTATCACAAGGGACCTCACGGAGACAAGATCCCTCGATTATTAAATGCATTTTTTGTTTTTCTCATGCAAAGCGTTGCTACGCCTTAAAATAGTAGACCCACTTGAGCCTGTACACATACAAACAGACACATAAGCAACACAAACATCTAGCTGCAGATACACACATACTCTCACTTTCACCTTATACCTGAAGAACGTTCCAAACCTCTTTATGGCTACTCGGGTGTCCAAGCATGCCGTCAACACTTGTTAGTACAGTCCTCGCTCATCGACAATATCTATGTACCCGTAAAAGCTCGAAGTCCACACTGACATCAACACATATCCCAGACAAATACCTAGAAACAACAGACACAAGCCTCATATTGTTTTTCTTGTTTACATTTAACCTGTGCAATGTTCGTTATAAGCATGTGTATAAAACAAAAATGTTAACTTTATTCAACTTTCATCTAGCATAGCACACTTAAAACTACATTAACTGTATAACCCTGTGTAGCCAGACACTAGGAAGGGAGTGTTTAGCACTGTTTATCCCAGTTTCATACTGCCTCGTCCTGGCCTGATTGTTACTCTCATTGTCAACGAAGTTAGTTTATGTCATAGATGAGATTAAACAATGATAATACATACTGTTTACTACTCGAATTATTTGTATATATGTATAAAATATATGCCTGATTTAACAAGTACCTCTATGCCCTACTGTTTGAAATGCGCTAGAGGATTGATTTAGGGTACCTCACAAGCAACTGTTACAATTTTACGTACTACAAAAATAAATAATAAAAAAAAAAAAACACAAAAATACTCTGTTCTCATGGATATCAAACAATTGCAAACACAACACAGGGTTTTTTTTTTTATCTTTGTGAAATATATGTGTGGAACAATTATTGGCACACTTCGAGTCAATATTTTGTGCTATCTCCCTTTGCCGGGATAACAGCTCTGAGTCTCCAATATAGCCATATTAGAGGAGGCCTGAACTAAAATAATTAGTAAAACACAATTATAAGTGGGATTGACCACTTTCTACCTGTGATAAGGTGCATGGTGTTATCTGTGATGGCGTGTATAACTATGTCCTCTAGATATTTTAGAGAGGTGTATGATGTTTAGCCCCGGGGGTAGTGTGCATTGTTTGCAACGTAATGAGAAATATGGTTAGATGTGGGCCCCTGGGGCAGAGAATAGAAGAGTAGAGTGGGTCATTTACAGACAACTAAGAGACATTCTCACTTCAACACACGGCTCAGCTGCAAGTAATTAGGAGCAGAAAATTAAATAAATCCCTGCCTAGAAGATAGACGAGGGAGACTTATTTTCTCTTTTGATTGCAAGAAGCAGCATACTAGGACTGGAGAGCATCAAACTCTGACATTCTGTAAGGTTGGTGAAAACCTGTATTTTATTCAGTTTTATTTAGTTTAAACCATGATAGTAAAGGATATCTCTGTTAGTAAGAGCTCAGATGAGCTAGGATTTTGTTTGTAGGAATTTTTTGTGTGATTTATGTTCCTAATGCTGCTTCCTGGAGTGGACTGCACAAGAAATTGTCTAGAAGATTTTAATTGATTCTACAAGACTGTGCCTATTTAATATCTTTGAGTAGTGGTTCCCAAACCAGTCCTCACAACCCAGCAACAGTTCATGTTTTGCCAGTACCTCTATTGAAATAAAAAAGGGAAATAATAAATCCTGGATTGTTTGTGGGCCATGAGGACTGGTTTGGGAACCACTGTCCTAGAGAGCATTGCTATTTGCATGGACATAGCTCCCTGTGCAGTAACCAATACATTGAATACAACCCTTACACTTGCACCTCACAGTCAAAAAACAAACAGCAGATGGCAGCGCCTAACAAACAGTGTAGCCCATAGGTGAAGTCATATATATAATAGATATACATACATACGACTGAGATCTTTATCCTTTATACAATATTTAATATTTCAAAGAAAAAAAAATAAAACAATCACAAATATGTCCTTAAAAAACACACAAAATTGACTAATACAGAGAAATCACTCACACTTTATAGAGCTGCAAAGAGCATGTATTGAGCGTGGACGGTACAATCCCTGTCTCAGGATGTATATTCAACAGTGGTGATGGTGGGCCCTCACAGTCAAAAACAGAGTATATACTAAATAAGGAATTTTAGGTGACTGGGAAATGATTAGCAAATGACAGGCAGCAATGCTCTGCATTTTCAGATCAGTGAAGAACCTAGAGTCTATCTACCAGATCAGTGTAAGCATCAAGGACAAACTTTTAGTGACCATGATCAGAACAGCTATGGCTTACTTTGCACCATATATTTTTGTGAACTATAGTTCCTAGTATGTTCGGGCACATTTGACTTACCATAAGAGATGAAGGTGCCTTGTTTCACTGCAGTAAGGTAAAAAGAATAGTTTGCTTCAATAGTTTGGATTATAAGGGCATGTGAACTAACTTCTATCACATGATGTTGGTAATACAATTATAGGCTGAAACATCATTTTACTTACAGTTGTGATAATGTTTCTAATTATATTTACAATTGGCAGCATGATCACTTTGTTACTTGTATCTCTGGATTAGCCATGGTCCCATATAATTGAAACCTTCTGTACGCAGGGTTCTTCTGCTCATTATAATGAAAATGAATGATATATAGATATTAATTATATAATATAATTGGTAAGAAGCACTTCCTATGAAATATTAAAAATACACTGTGGATTCACTGATGCTACACTTACTGCATAAATTAAATTTACGACTAGTGCAGTGACAGAATTGCTACATATGGATATGGTAATTGCTCTCATTAGTATACATTTTATTTGTAACACCAACATAATTTACAGCACTATATAACTGATAAGTGAAATATACAAGTACCAAAAAAAATTAGCCCACCTAATTCCAATAAACAGTGAACACAATGTTCAGTAGCAATGAATGAAACCTATGCCACAGGCACTAAATCTGGCATTCGGGGGCCGCTAAATTGTAACCAAAATAGCTATCGATGTTAAAGGACAGATTATATCGCAATCCACAAAGTTTTTTAGCAGTGCAGATGTAGGGAGTAGATGGGAGTAGAGAACCCCACATGGGATTTTGCTGTTTGCTGGGAGAGGAAGGGAAAGTCTATGAGTGAAGCTGCCAGCATGAAAGGTTAACTGATTTGGAATGGTGGGATTAGAAGTTCTACAAAAAAGGCCTTATTTGAGAAAAGATATGGAGGATGAGAATGGTTGTGGACAAAGTGTGTAGGAGGTGTGTATTTAAATATTACATGGATAATATGGGCGTAAATACTGGTGAAAGTGAAGTGATTCAGACAAAGTAACGTTTATGTCATGGTTCTGATCAGGTCAGTAAAGAGACTTACACTGGGGTTAAGTTAAGGTTCTTTATTGGAATTGTTAGACATGTTTTAAACGTGAAATAATATTAAGTGAAGCAAGACTTAAAAGAAATAAAGACAAGAGGGATAAAGCAGTACCTATAAATGAGATTACAGGTAAGTAATAATGAGGGTTATAGAATTAAGGGTTTAGGCAATAAGCCCCAGACAGGTTATAGAGAAGTAGATATAAGTAGAACCTATAAATGGAATTATAGGTAAATAACAGGATATAAAGAAATAAAAGTAAAACCTGTAAATGGAATTATAGTTTTGGAGGAAGAAGGATAACCTATAAGCGAAGTTATAGGTTAGGAGGAAGAAGGAGAAGCTATAAGCGAAATTATAGGTAGAGGATGAAATAACAGAAACAGTGGTTTAGGCAATATGCCCCAAGCTGATATCAGGTGATAGGGAATGTTATAAGTGAGATTTACAGGTAATTCAAGAGAAGGAAAAACCTATAAGAGAAATTATAAGTGTAACGGATCACCTGGCACCCCGACTGGGTATCTCCGTTGGCGGATGCCTCCTAGCTGACGCCGAGGACTATAAGCACTGCACCGGACACCACAACCTTTGCAGACTCCACAACCATCATAGCTTAACTGGAGTCTCGCCGTCTTCCTTCCACCCTGGACCAACCTCCGACATCAAGGACCATGGTGGGAAGACCTCTCCTCCAGGAAAGCATATCAGGAACAGCTCTTAAAAGAGCTAAGTGATTAGAACCCAGGGGAGTATACAGATTATAGCAGTTGCCCTTCAATCACGAGACAAGACTACGTGTTGAGGGTCAAACAGGAACAGCAGATCTGAGGGTTTATTGAACAGCTTGGTCTTTTATACCGTTTTCCCCACAAGGTTACCACCCAGGTACACCTTGTGGGGCACAGGGACACAGGAACAACAAGCCAATAAAAACATACTTTCACCTTCAGTCACTCCCATACAGTGTACACAATCCCTCCCCTCTGCCTGTGATAATTAATTAAGACAATGGACTAACTCAATTAACTCTAAGCAGAAGAAAACATACATTTTTACAAACCCCAAAAAGTACCCCAAAATACAACATATCCCCATATCCCCATATCCTCTGATAGCCCCGATCTGGGTGAACAACATATCTAAAAATCATCCAGATTGGTTCAGGAATTTCCTGGAAGTCTTATTTTTGCCCCACCGTGCACATGGTCCAATGGCCAAAACAGTTCCATACACTCAACGATAAAACACTGCTGGACAATTTAAGATGGCCGCCGCCACATGTTTGAATCTGTTCCAGTTAAAAGTCCAAGGGGCAGAAACAGTACTTTTGAACATGGGTTATCACAGGGCCCATAGTCACAAGCTAGGAGGCGGGCAAGCAGGCCCCTCCAAAAACCAGTGGCAAAGTTGCTTTCGGCACAATAGGTAAACATAATATAATAAGTGAGATAAATAAATATGAAGATATAATGAATTCAAGTTAAATAGACATGTAGTCATTCAGAGTCTTTTGGTTGGAGGCAGTAATGCAGATATCAGATAATTGTAGCAGGGTTATTCAGGATAGTAGCAAATAGAATAGTCAGTATTATCCAGGTATGTTGTGTTGAATTCCGTTGGAGTAAAAGGGTTTTGCAACAAAAGTAGAGATAACAAAGTCCAGTATGAATAAAGCAAGTCGGTTGAGTTGACTCCGGTAGTTATAAAGTTGGTATGCAAACAAGGTAAAAAGATAATAAAGTCCAATATGAAATAAAGCAGGTTGGAATTGGAAATCAGGATTTGTTACCAAGCTTCTTAGAAAAGAGCAGCCTGGAAACTAGCAGGTTGGTTGAATAAATCAAGATTTCCAAAGGTATTTGGAGATGAGCAGGTTTCTCATTATGAGACAGGAACAGAAGTCATGTCATGTCACGTCCAGAACCACAACCTCAATCAATGTAAAGGCAGTTTCCTTTAGCAAGGTGTGGCCTCTTATAGCATGAGTAATCAGTCCAGGCAGGTGAGGATGAGAGTTCATACATAGTGGTTAGGAAGGCCACTAATGGCAAAACATAGTTACTGCAGATATAAACTTAAATGAAAGGAATGTAATACCAAAATTATGGTTTGGATCCTGACAGTTTAATTTTGTGTCTGGTATGAAAGTAGGAGACAGATAAAAGAAGTCAGACAGAGAAAAAAAGTCTTATGATATCAAGTGGTCAATGGAAACAGATGTAGAAGGGAGATGAAAGTTTTAAATGAAGGGGGCAAGAAACACATATGGATAGTCAACTGTGCAATGGAGTAGAAACACAATTGTAGGGGAAATGAGGAAATGTGAAGGAAAGTAACAAAAGAAATAGATTTAAAATGAGAAAATAGGCCTTGGCACTTTTGGTTCTTTTACTTGGCTTCTACAGAAGAGTTGGCACAAAAATGTTCACCATAACTCTTGAACAATGGTGTGTAGAGTGTTTAAATACAGTTTTGTACATATAAATGTCCACAAATCTCAATGCTGTACCATACGCCAAGGCAACATTAAAATTGAGCATCTAAAATTATATATAGTTTAACCAACGAACGTCTTGATCAGACATAGTCAACCTTCAGCACTCCAGATATTATGGACTACATCTTCCTTGATGCTGTGCCATCATTATGACTGTAAGAGCATTATGAGAGATGTAGTATAAAATGTTAACCGAAGATGGAACGCAAATGGCCACTATGTGGAACACATACATCATCACTGAGTTCTAGTTTCACTTTTTGGCCCCCTGAAGAAGTTCTATTTTGGGATAAAATGTGTAGGACCGCCCACTTTTATTAATTATGTTTTCATTACTATTTGTTATTTTTATCTGTAAATTAAATACATACATATTCTGGAAGACCATTGGAATCTAGATTTCCCTGGCAGAGACATGGACTATTCCTCCCCCCCTCCCTCCAGAGGAGGAAACATGGACTAGCCCCCCAGAATTCCAAGGGGAGGCACCCTAAGGCGACACAACCATCTACCTACTAGTGAGTATATTTCTGGCAGTTCCATTTTATACGTGTTGTACTTTATTACATTGTTAGTGTTTTTATTCCTTTTTAATCCTCTTTATACTGTATTATGGTTTGCCAGCATTATGACTGTGGGAATTATGGGAGATGTAGTCCACAACATCTGGAGTACCAAAGGTTGCCTACCCCTGGTCTAGATCCTCAGCAAAACTGTTTATAAGGAACTCAGCCTCAATTCAATATTTTGCTAAGTTTAAGTTCTCCATGTGATTTAATATTTTGGGATAAACTTTTGAAATTATTTTTTCACTTTATTAAAATATTACAAAATACATCATATATAAAGAAATATATCAATGTATATAAAATATTACAAATTTAAAATATTTTTCATATTATTAAATCTTTTTAAAAATGTATCCAAAAATATTACAGCATTAGAAAATCTTATCCAATCATATTAAACCAAGGCCCTAATGAAAAATTTAATTTTTTTTATTCATTTAACGCTATAAGGGTTGTATACAGTTGCCACTGCTTAATAGATACTAAATCCCATGCTGACATAATCTCTTTATATTCCAGATTGTGACAATAGCTGACTTCACAGTCCAATCCCAGCTCCCAAATGTACACTTATTATTATTATTATTATTATGATATTTATAGAGCGCCGTCAAATTCCGCAGCGCTTTACAATGGGTGGATGAACAGATATGTAGTTGTAACCAGACAAGTTGGACACACAGGAACAGAGGGATTGAGGGCCCTGCTCAATGAGCTTACATTCTAGAGGGAGTGGGGTAAAATGACACAAAAAGGTAAGGATAGTATTAGACTAGTGACAGTTGCAGAAGAGGAATCAGTCAGGAGCTATTAACAGTTTAATTGATACGCTTTTATGAAGAAGTGGGTTTTTAACGATTTTTTGAAGGAGTGGAGACTGGGTGAGCATCTAACGGAGGAGGGAAGCGAGTTCCACAGGAACGGTGCAGCCCTCGAGAAATCTTGAAGGCGAGCATCAGAGGTGGGAGTACGGACAGAAGATAGACATAAGTCTTCAGCAGATCGTAAGGGCCTAGATGGGACATACTTGTGTATAAGGGAGGATAGATAGGTGGGAGCAGCATTATGTAGAGATTTGAAAGCAAGAACCAGAATTTTAAATTGAGCTCTATATTTTATAGGAAGCCAATGTAGGGACTGACAGAAGGGTGAGGCATGGGAGGTGCGGGCGGACAGGAAGATGAGCCTCGCCGCCGCATTCATTATGGACTGTAACGGCGCAAGTTGGGAGCACGTAAGACCACTGAGAAGCGGATTACAGTAGTCAAGGTGAGAAAGGACAGTGGAATGGACCAACACCTTAGTCGCATCTGGCGTTAAGTAGGGGCGGATGCGCGCAATGTTGTTGAGATGGAAATGACAGGATTTGGCAATAGATTGAACATGAGGCTTGAAGAAGAGGTCGGAGTCAAAGAGAACACCTAGGCAGCGAGCCTGCATAGTGGAGCTGATGGTAGCACCGTTGACTTGGAGGGAGACAGACACAGGAGTAACAACACTTGAGGGAGGAAAGACCAGAATTTCAGTTTTGGTCAGGTTTAGTTTAAGGAAGTCGGCAGCCATCCTGTTAGAAACAGCAGAGAGGCAGTCAGAGACACTAGTCAAGAGGGACGGGGAGAGATCAGGAGAGGACAGGTAGATTTGCGTGTCATCTGCATAGAAATGATATTGGAAGCCAAAGGAGCTAATGAGTTTACCAAGGGAGGCAGTATAGATGGAGAACAGTAGGGGACCAAGGACTGAACCTTGGGGGACACCAACAGAGAGGAGTTGGGGAGAAGAAGTAGAGCCAGAGAAAGAAACACTGAAAGAGCGCTGGGAGAGGTAGAAGGAGCACCAGGAGAGAGCAATATCTTGTAGACCGATATTGTGGAGGATGAGAAGAAGCTGTTGATGATCAACAGTGTCAAAAGCCGCAGGCAGGTCAAGGAGAATTAGGATAGAGTAGTGACCACGAGATTTTGCAGCGAGTAGATCATTGGATACTTTGGTCAGTGCCGTTTCCACAGAGTGCTTAGCGCGGAAACCAGACTGAAGCTGGTCTAGCAGAGAGTTGGACTCGAGGAAGTCTGTCAATCTCGCATACACAATTTTTTCAAGGATCTTGGATGCAAAAGGAAGTAGCGAGATAGGACGATAGTTGGATGGGGAGTTCCAATGTAGCGGGTGCGAATGAACATAGAGCAGCAGAGGGAGTGAAGTTAGGGGAAGTATTGTAAGGGGAAGAAGAAAGATGAGAGATCTCTTCTCTGATTTTAGAGATCTTGTCAGTGAAGTGAGTTGCAAAGTCTGAGGCGGTGAAGTTAGTAGGTGGAGGAGGAACAGTAGGGAGAAGAAGAGAGTTAAATTTGTGAAATAGTTGTTTGGGTTCGCGGGAGAGTGTGGTTATGAGGGTATTGAAGTAATTAACTTTTGCAGTGGAAAGAGCCAAGCTGTATGAGCTCAGCATAAATTTATACTTACAACTATTCCCCAGAAGCCATCCAAATGTTTCATCTGAAAAACGTACATAGTGGCATACATCACTCAGACACACTCCAATACCTCACCATGCTTACTTCCTGGACCCCCAGAAGAAAGCTCTATTGATTCGTGTCATAAGTATGTGGAGAATAATATTTGTTCAAATTGTACTACATTCCCTTGGCAAGTTAAAAACAAAGTAGCCATAGACTTGAAGTTCCAAATCCTTACCAACCAAGTTTTCCAATAATGGGACAATAATGGCACAAAGTGGACATGGAGTCCAATCATGAGGCTCTTTGGCATGTTGGTACAGACGAATGCAAAATATACAGCCTGTGCTATTCATGGGAAATTAGAATTTGCTGATCTGTTTGGTTACGTCTGGAGGAATGATTCTGCACTTTTGTGTCTGGAGATCTGGAATATCCTGACACACTTGGAGGAAAAAGTGTAACACACATACATTCACCAGATTGTTAATGAGCTTCCCCCAGTGGTGATCTTGGGGAAAAATTGACAAGTAATGATTGCTACTGACCTTTTGGCATGGGATGTCACAATAAGTTCCCATAGTTAGCATCTCTTTTAACTCCTGCCTGGACATTGAGAGCTCAGAGGTCATCTTCTGGCACCATTCCAGTATCACCCCGCAGTCAGCAAACTCTTTTAGCAGGAGGTCAGGGATATAGTGGATCTGTCTTTATAGAGAAGCTGTAAGGGCAACAAGTACATCATCACAATGGGGGACTATGCCAGCAATAAGTTGTGGAACTCAACCAAATTCTGTAATATTGCCCCTCATTCAGATATTTACAAAAAGACGGTTTCCCCAGCAAAACCTTATCAGACCAAAACAGCCAAGTCTTATCAATATGCTAGCACAACAATAAAAAGCAAATACTGTCAATACAGCTCCTGCAAACTTTAGAGTACAAGACGTAGCTTGTCTAGTTTAATGTCTAATTAATAAAAACATCACCTAGCAGAGGGGCAGGTCCTTTGCATTTAATTCTGATGTACTGCCGTTTGACTTGTAGACAATGTCCTAGGTAGGAGATTTTGGCAAGTCCACAAGAAAGTATATAAAATGTATTTACTTACCTGCGTGCAGTGTTGTAAGTTACTAACAAGTCATATGATCGTTCAGTGACAGTACATTAAATATACTAGGAAGTTTCCTGGTTGGTTGCCCTGCTGCTACCTGGGGATGCTGTGCTGGGTGTGCGGCTCCTTAGCCACCCCCCAGCGCAGCCATTCACCTGCTGGGCTGCTCTCTGCTGCTTGCCTGCTCAGGGAGAGGAACCGAGCAGAGCACACTGCTTCCTGCAGGCAGGAGAAGCTGGGATACGACCTGGTTTTCCGGCTGCCCCCGTCTGTGAACACCGGAAGCACTCTGAGAGGAACAGGAAGCAGCCTGTGCTCACAGTGCATGGCTCTCCTGCTTCCCCCTACCAGTAACAGAGCAGCTACCTGGAGGCTGGACTTCTTCTCCTCTTCACAGCACCCAGGTATGGCAGGCTAAGTGGGGTGGTCTGTTGTGTGCATGGTTGTAAATTCCTGCGTGTGTGCTGTATTTGTGTGTGTTAATGTGTGACTTTATGTACAATGATGTGAGTTTGTGTTTGAGTTACTGTGTGTGTAAGTCAAAGTGTGTAAGTGACACTGTGTGTGTGTTAGTGAGAGTGTTCAAGTGACACTATGTTAGTGAGAATGTGTAAGGGACTGTGTGTGTGTGTGTGTGTGTTAATGAGAGTGTGCAAGTGACAGTGAGTGTTCGTGAGGGTGTGTGTGTTAGTGATAGTGTGTAAGTAACTCTGGGTTATTTTGGATTTGTGCTGCCCTAGGCACGACAAAATTTGGGCACCCCTAAAATCTAAATTTGCCCCCCCCAATTCGTGTCAAGGCCACTTTTTTGACAGACAGACACAGTCTCTCATTGATACATGCACTGATATACACTCACTGACAGATACACAGTCATTGGCACACACATCCAGTCATTGACACACACTGTTTAACCAACATACACGTTCACTGACAGACACACACTGACACACCCACTCACTGACAGGCACACATTCTCAGATACACATAAAATGACATACACACACTGAACCACCCATTCTCACTGAAAGACACACACACACATTCACTCACTCACAGACACACACTGACAGCTACACTCACTCAATCACTCACTCACAGTAAGATGGACAGCCCCAGAACACGAGGCAAACAAGACATTTGTCTGGGAGCTTGGGGTGGCATTTTTTTGCACCTACCCTTCACCCCCCTCGAACTGCCGCCCTAGGCAAATGCCTTGTTTGCCTTGTGGTAAATACAACCCTGAGCGAGAGTGTGCAAGTGACACTAAGTGTCTCTCGGTGTGTGTGTGTGTGTGTTAGTGAGAGTGTAACTGACAATGTGTATGTTGGTGAGAGTGTGTATAGGTTAGTGAGAATGTGTAACTGACAATGTGTATGTCAGTGAGTGTGTGTTAGTGAGAGATTGTCTCTTTCTTTCCCTAAATGTGTGCTTACTATGTCTCTCTCCTAAAATGTTTCCTAAATATCTCAACAGTCTCTATATCTTTTCCCTAAATGTCTCCCCAGACTGCTTCCGTTCTTTCTCACTGTGCATCTGCTTTCACTTAAAGGGACATAATAGGCACCAAGACCACTTGAAGTGACCTGGATGCACTATCCCAGTGTCCTTACACTGCAAAGGTAATTATTGCAGTTTTTAACAAACAGCAATAAATACCGTTCAGAGTTAACTCCACCTCTAGTGGCTATTTATGGGGTCATCCAGCGTATAATGCTTTGCTATGGGGAAATCCTAATGCGAGTGTGGCCATTGAGGAGCGACGGCGGACCTGAGCCAGTACCAAGGGACATCATCGCTGGACCCAGGTAAGTGTCAGTTTTTGTTAACCCCTTCTGCACCGCGAGGGGTAAGGTGCACTTGACGGAGGGGGAAGCTACAGTGCCAGGAAAATTTTTTGTTTTCCTGGCAGTATAATTTCCCTTTAATGTCTACTCAGTGTGTCTCTTTCCCTAAATGTCTCTTCACTGCAATTCAGAGGTTAGTGAATAAACCTCTGAGGGAATGCATGCATAAAATGCACTAAAATGATTCTCTAGGCACCTACTGCGTTCAAAGAATTATGGAAGTTGTAGGCCATCAACATGGGATGAAGGGCGAGTTTATGATCCCTGGTCCAAGCAATGTAAAAGCACAAAAGGACAATTGGATGTATGAATACAAGTGTATATAGACGGCTCTTACAAGTGAGACCAATAAATAATTTTATGGCAAGACAGGAGGCTTCATATTTGTTTATCTTTCTTTACTGTAACTCCCAGCAGCAAAGAAATAGTTAACAATCAGTGTAAAAAAGTTTAACCAATCAGCATGCATCACAGTAATATAAACTGTCATCAGACTCCTCCCAACTCCTCTTTCTTTGCTGCTTAACCTCCCAGGTGAGTCTATTCTAATGATATCCCTATTAATGCTCAATTTTAGTTGACTATTATCTTTTTAATATCTTGCTCTTTCAGCTGTCAATAATCATTTAATTTATTATTATTTATTCGATATTTATTAAAAATGTGAAGTGTTTTCCGTTTTAGTACATTTCAGTCAGCCCACAACTTTATATTACTTCCTATAGTAACAGCTTTCTTAGATTGTGCTCTGTCAGTTTAATTAGATCACTGACAGTTTCGCCACGGCTCCCGGCATTTTGCCGGTCCGTTCAGCCACTCTGTTACTGTGCTCACTTGTTTCCCCCTGAGCGTCTCCATAGAGACGCATCCCGCCCTTTCCTCTGTGCTACGGCCATCTCTCTTGCTTTTTTCCTGGGCATTTTGCTCGGGCGCCATCTTGTGGACGGTCTCTGTGCGGCGGTTTCGTTTGCTTTCACCTCTTGATCTGTGGTTGCGATCCAGCCGTTAGGTGAGTAAATGTTTTTCTTCTTAAAGCCCCAGGCTGTTCTTTATTTATTTAAAGGTATACAAACCCACAACTCGAAATATTAATTTTTCTGTTACAGATGCCCAAAACACAAAAACAAAGTGCCTTAAACCCTTGCATTACTTTTAGGGTGACCCCCTCGAGCCTATATTCTGAGGGTGACCCCCTTTTTGCATCTATACATGGTAACCCCCTATATGATTACACAGGTACATACCTGTTATTAATGTTGGACGTTATATTGTCCTTTTTTTCTCTGGGTGAACCCCACTGATATACTGTGGATGAACCCAACTTGTCTAACAGGTTAATCCTGTTTAAAGTCCACTGCTTCTTTGTAAATAGTTGTCTGCATATTTAAAAAAAAAAAAAATATATATATATATCTATATATATATATATATATATATATATATATTATTATTATTATTATTATTTTATTATTTATATAGCGCCAACAAATTCCGTAGCGCTGTATATATATATATATATATATATATATATATATATATAAAATAAATAAATAAATATTTTAGTGGGGACCCCACTGTTTTTGACATTATGTCAGATTTACCAGATCCAGCAGTCTCTGCTGAACTTAAGGCATGGATATTCAATGCAATTGCCGACTCTATACCCAAAGCTTTAGCGGCTTTCCGCGAGCACACAGTTCCAGCCCCTACGGCGACTATTACCCAGCTGTCAGACTCCGAGGAGTCTCATGGTTCAGACCAGGATGAGTTCCTCGCAAGCGCCCTTGGAAGGGCGATATCGCTACCGCCAGTAAAGGCAAAGCGCCTGCCAAACACCCTAGAGTTCCCCTACTAAACCCAGGGAGGTTGTCTCCCAACATGATTTTGACCCACTTGAGGGTTCAACCTCTAATTATAATCTTCAGGTGGTAGATGAATACTATGCAGAACATTCGGATAATGATACTCCACCTCATAAGACATCCCGAGACCTTTACCCTTCTGATTTCACTAATGAGCCCTCCCTCATACCAAATCAAGAGGAATTCCATTTGGAATCTGACCTAACATCTGACCCTAACTTAAAAGATGACACCTTATTTGACACCTCTGGCCGCCCTTTATTTGACCCTAGATGCATCAGGCACCCTAGATCTGCCGAATGGACACCCCCGGACCACATTGCCAAATACTGTAGAATGTGGCTCCGTCGGCCTCTAGAAAAAAAGATGAGAGCCAAATTAAGGGCAGAATGCCCACGTCCCATCATCCTGGACAAGGTGGCCATTACACCTGAATTCGACCCCTTCCTTGTTACCTTTCTGACCAAGTCAGGGAAAGACCCCCGTAAGGGTCTAAAACAGGGTCTGAAAGCCACTCAAGATAAACTGATGGATGTGGCGGGCCCGCTTATACAAATCTTTATTATAGCAGATGAGGCTCTTTCACGTGGCACTTTTGACGCACCTATGGTGCGAGAGTGGGCACAAGGGGGGCTTTATGCCTTTTAGGCAATGCCAACGTGGCAATCTTGACAGAATGGCGAAAGGCCGTCCTTTACAAAATCGATGCCAAGCTTGCCGAATTGGGCATTAAAGAACTTGGTCCAGAGGCTCAAGGCATGTTATTCGGAGACAAGTTCATTAAAGAGCGAAGTAAACACGCCTCTGTATTTACTACACTAACTAAAGCACAATCCTCCATCCCCAAGGTGTTTCGCACACAACGTTTTTCCGGGAGGGCTGGTCACTACAGAGGCCAAGCAACTGGCAGAGCTGCCTTCACAGGCTACAGGCCTCGATCCACAGACCCTTGGAACTCGGGCAGTACCCATATTCCACCACTGGCAGTTTTTCCCCTCTCGCTGAGCTCTCCGAGGACGTGGATCTGCTTCCCTCTGCGGTCGCACTGCTACAGGTAATGGACCTTACTTATTCTCATATTCCTATTGCAGGCCGGTTAACCTTTTTTTCCCAACCGTGGTCTCAACTCACTCAGGATCCTTGGATCCTTCAGACTGATGAACCGATACAAATATCTCCTCCTATCCCGATCAAGATGTCATTGTTAGACGAGTCGACTCTAGGGAGCGAGCTCAACAATCTATTCGCCAAAGGTGCGATCGAAAGAGTTGTTGGCCCACATAAGCAACATGTGTCTAGTCAAGAAAAAATCAGAAGACCTACGACCTGTTATCAATCTGAGAGATCTGAACAGGTTCATCACATACCGTCACTTCAAAATGGAGGGAATCCATTTATTGAGAGACCTACTCTGCGAGGGAGATTGGTTCTCCCGCTTCGATCTAAAGGATGCATACCTCACGGTGCCAGTAACACCAGCCCACTGCTGCCTCCTTCAGTTTCGTTGGGAACAGGAACTATGGCAATTCACCTGCCTCCCCTTCGGCCTATCTTCCGCACCCTGGTGATTTACCAAACTAATGAAACCAGTAATGGCATTACTGCGTTCCCAGGGAATCTGGTCCATCGTTTATCTGGATGATATTCTCCTCATGGCGCAGAACCAAAAGACTCTTCACCTTCAGACAGCCATGACCTCCACTTTGTTGCAGAACCTTGGCTTTGTGATCAATCACCAGAAATCATCTCTCCCTCTGTCTCAGACGGTACAATTCCTGGGATTCTAGATAGATTCTGTTCAGGCAGTCCTACAACTTCCTGCAACCAAAATCAAATCCATAAAAAAAGGATATCACCATACCTCTGCCTGCGAGATCTAGCTCGCATCATTGGTTTGCTCTCCGCTTCAATACAGGCAATATTCCCTGCCCCATTGCACTACCGAGCATTGCAACGTCTGAAGACGCAATATTTACATCAGTCGACATCCTATGATCAACAGATCACACTCACAGACGAACTCCGGCTAGAACTCCATTGGTGGCTACAACATATGGACGCTTGGAATGGGAGAGCCATCTTCGGATCCCAACCCGATTTCATCCTGGAATCGGATGCAAGCATGCTCGGATGGGGCGCAACTTGCTCGGAAAGCTCTACAGGAGGGATCTGGTCCCATTTGGAATTAGCACTTCATATCAATTGCCTCTAACTAATTGAGGGCTCCTTCACAATCCAAAGTTTCGCCAAGGATGTCTACAATTGTTCCGTGGTGCTGAAGATGGACAATGTCTCAGCGGTTCACTACGTGAATCATCTAGGAGGTTCCAAATCAAAAGATGCTTTTGGACCTGACCAAGGAATTGTATCAGTTCTGCCTAGACAGGAATATCTCCCTGGAAGCAGAATATCTACTGGGATCAGACAACCTCGTTGCAGACTGGTTCTCCCGACATTGGAGAGATTCCAGCGAATGGCAACTGGATCCACAAATACTTCACCGTCTCCAGGTCTGGTGGGGACCATTCAACCTGGACCTATTTGCATCTCGCATCAGCTGGTTGCCAGACCCAGTGTGCCTTGCATTCGATGCCTTCTTATAGATGCGGCGATGTCCGGAGCATATGCGTTCCCTCCATTCTCCATGATCCCACGCACACTACAGTACCTCAAAACTCAAGGTGTCAAGATAACTCTGGTAACGCCCCTATGGCGGGCCCAACCATAGTACCCTTACCTCCTGGAAATGTCAGTGGATTTTCCCCTGCTTCTACCCACCCCTCCTGCAACCTCCTCAGGGACCCGGCAGGCAACTTTCACCTGTTGGCAATCCAGGATCCGACTAGTGGCTTGGACCATTTCAGGGGATCATGGAATGTCTCAGGCCTTTCGGCTACTGCTCATGGACTCCTTTGGGATTCATGGGCCCCAGGAACCAGACGCTCTTACATCTTCGCATGGCGTCATTGGAGTTGCTGGTGTTTGGAAAGGAACTTTGATCCCTTTTCAACATCTATAATTAATATTATCAATTTCCTGTCGTCTCTGTTCGATCAGGGTAAATCCTACCGGACTATTAACGTGTTTCGATCTGCTATTTCTGCAGCGCACGTTCCTATTGAAAGTTCTTCAGTAGGCAAACACCCTTCTGTGTGTAGACTCTTGCGGGGCATCCGCATCGCTAGACCTCCGGCTCCCAAATATAATCAATTCTGGGACATGGCTCTCATGCTCACATTCTTAGAAGCTTGCCTAGACAACGAGGTGCTCTCCCTATGCCAATTGTCAGCCAAATTAGCTCTCCTCCTTACCTTGGTCTCCTTCCGAAGAGTCTCCAACATCAGAGCTTTCGACTTTCATGCCCTCGATTTCACACCGGAAGGGGTGCACTTTCACATCACTAGACACACCAAGACCAATTCATCTACAGTGAGCTACCCCTACTTTATGGAGAAACCACTTCTCTGCGTAGCCCGTTGTGTAAGACACTATATCTCTCGCACTACCCCTTTTAGACCACTTACTGGGCCCCTCCTTGTGTCTTATGTGCGACCACACAAACCAGTCTTGAGCCCTACTATTGCTCAGTGGATTAAATGGCTACTAACTCTGGCTGGCATTGATGCATCTTTCGGGGCTCACTTGGTTAGAGGCGCGGCCGCCTCCTCTGTGTTCATGGCTAGAGGTTCCCTGGCGGAGATTTTGTCCTCCGCCGATTGGTCTATCGAATCCACTTTCCGTAACTTTTATTTTAGACATTTTCCACACGTTTCTTTGTCCATGCTATCTATGAGTTAAAATAGCAAATATGAAGCCTCCTGTCTTGCCATAAAATTCAGGATTATGCTAACTTTTAGTGACTTAATAATCTAAATTTTATTAAAGACAGGAGGCTAATATTTTCCCACCCTGGAATACCTGTACCCACCCTATTAGGTAAGTATCTCTTAGTACCTCCATCTTTATCTAGGTGGCGAGCATCCTTTTGACTTGTCTTTTTTTCTGGCATATACTCGTCAGTTAATTATTATGTTAAAGTTTGCATTCAAATTGAACGTTAGTTTCATTGCATTTTTAATTTGGTTCTCACTTACCCAAGACATATTATGTTAAAGCTTGCACTTAAATTGGACGTTAGTTTCATGGCATTTAATTAGATTTTCTCACGATGTTTCTCTTTCCTCCTAGTGTGAAGATCGCTCGTCATCTCTGTTTCAAGTCTCCCCCGTGGGTTGAGCACTGTTTCATCCTATCGGATACTTACACCGTTACCTACTCATCGTTCTAATGGTTCTACGTTTACATGGTTGACTCTACGACTGTTCGGCTACATCAAGAAAGAGGAATTGGGAGGAGCCTGATGGCAGTTTATATAACTTTTTTTACACTGATTGTTAACTGTTTCTTTGCTGCTGGGAGTTACAGTAAAGAAAGATAAGCAAACATTCACCTCCTGTCTTTAATAAAATTTAGATTGTTCGGTCACTAAAAGTTTGAATAATCCTGAATTAACAAGGGTCCTGAAATTTCATTTCATCAAATTCTCATGTTTGCCCACCAGGTGGCGATAATTTTAAAGCAGCTACTACGGTTGTAAAGCTAAAACAGGCAAAATTCAACACAATGATAGCAGGCAGAAAAGTCTGTGCTAGACAGAAGGTGGGTTCTGGCAGTTCGTACAAATTCCAGTGACTGCTTCTGCTGTTTCCTCTGTCAGAAGCTTCATCGATGCTGCAGTCTCTTTCATGAGAGAGAGTTAGGCATGTACATGAAAGGAAAGAAAAATGGGTTCAGCCGAATCGATTTGTCCAGCAAAAAATAATGCAGATCTGGTGGTCCAAAATTTGTCCATGTGACATTTGGTTCCGGATGAATTTTGTCCCTGCATACGTTTTGAGAAAAACTATTTGAACAAACCAAAAAGGGCATGAAAATGGACCAGTGTACTGCAAAATTTAAATATTATGTATATAAACTGCAGTACACAGGTAAATAAATGTTCCTACCATTTGGTTCACAAATCCAATCCAAAATAAGTAAACAACACAGGGAAAAGGAAGAAGCAGAAAAAAAAAATCTACATATATTATATAATTGAAAAATAATACCTAAATATAGATTTCGTTTGTCTCATGATTCGGCATTATGGAATTTGGATCAACCACCGAAAGCCCCCAAATTTTTTGAAACCAAATGCACAAGACTAGTGAAAGTATAACTGTAAGGTCCCCCTGAATAATGTTTAATACGATTTACAAGTTGATGCCCTCTCCTACTTCTATCTTTATTGGCCGCTAGGGGAACTGACAAAAGTTGACGTTGGAAACTCTGCCTTTTGTCAACTTTTGCTAATCTTGACCTTTATCAATAAGACAAAGAAGTCCCTTAGTAGTTGACAGAGACTAGAACGCTACCTGCAGCATAGAAAATGACATTGTTAAATAGACAAGCACAGTCTTACCCTGTCTGGCTGATTCAAATTACACGCCACCAAGTTCTCACAGGGAGAAAAAATAAATACCTCGATGAGTCTGTAGAATGCCCAAAATCCTGGCATGACCTCTGCGGGGTGCATCCTCTGTCAGGGGTTCTCATTACTGTGGCCGTGACATGATTTAAAAAAAAAAAAAAAGTTTGTTTGCAGCATTCAATAGGCTGCACAAGATACCACTTTTTTTTTTCTCCCTTCAGATATTTAATTATCTGCAATTAATACATTGATGCAGGCTTTTATAATAAATAAGCATACGTCAATCTTCCAGCAATAAATGATAAGTAGGTTAAATGGCATTGGTGGGGGAGGAATCACCCCAAGGTCTCACACAGGCAGGTGACCGTTCTGTTTTTTGTAAGTGACGGGAATAAAATATTCTGCTCCAAAACTATTTGTTTGATTAGATTGTGGATGTGGCATACACTCTGCATTTCTGCCAAGTTAATCACAGTTCAAAGTGCATCTTCTGTGCTTGCAATAACACATGTACAAATGATGACGGTTACATTGAATTACATTTGCTATGAAATTACTAATTATTTAGGTATCTATGAATTGCTACAAAGTCAGACAGGGGCTATTAAACCTATATGTAACAGATTAGTATGCAAAATATTTTCTTATCAAAATCCCAATTCGTGGAAAGAAAAAAACTGCCCATGAACATGCTTAAACGTATCTTTGTCAATCCTTGCGCATTCCTATTTATCTGTATGTTTCACTGTTTTTGTTTGGCGTTTTAGAGGGCACACTGTTTAGTAGGTTTGCTTCCATATGTACTTTTAGTGGTTGGTGTTCTTCAGGTTCAAACTGATAACAGGTCACAGTGCTTGTCCTAACATAATATAAAATGAACATTCTAAGCACCATAGCCACTGTAGCTTGCTGTACTGGTTATGGAACTAGGAGTGCCCAGGTGCCCTCTTACTGTAAGTAGTTAAACTGTTTCCACTGAAAAACTGTTCTTAGGGGTCCAAAATGCACTCATACAGCTGTAGCCAATAACAGGCAAGCAATTTGTTTTAGTCCAATTCCAACAGCTTGATCAGTGGTTCGCAGCCCAGGCCTCAAGGCACACCAGATTTGCCAATATTCCCATGAGAACATACCATAATCAGAAATACCTATATCTTGAACTTTTAGTGTCACTTGTGGACTGGGTTGTTAACCACTGGGCTTACAGTGCCATGGAGACACCCCGGGCTTAGTACAAATAAGCCAGATAGTTAAAGGGACACTGTAGGTGCTATAACTGTTTTATATCATTAAAGCAGTGATGGTGTCTGGAGTCCCCTTGCAGCCTCCTTCCATTCAGCCCTGAACCATTTTTCATGCTAAACAAGAGTCCCTAAACAGTTTATATTGGTATGGCTAGAAGAAAGTTTGCAATCTCTGCTTTAACCATACCTCCAGTGGGAGCATGGCTGTGGATCCTTATTTAATGTTAAACTGTTTGAAATTGGAGAGACAGTGCCAGGGGCTTTAAATCCCAATAACCAAATTAGATGAAATTCTACATTGTTCCTTTAACTATGACGCTTGAAGTGGTCTTGGTGCCAAGTTCCTGTCTGTTTAACCCTGCAATGGAAATATTTAAACGCAGGGTTTACAAAAGCGTATTAATTAAACTGTTAATAGCTCCCAACTGATTCCTATCCTGCAACTACTGTCATTTAAAGAAAAGAAAAAAAAACACACTAAGTCTTTAGTTAATACTATTCTACCAATCTACTTCTCTAATACTCAGGGCCGGCGCATCCTATAGGCGACTTAGGCTTTCCTAGGGCGCACCGGCCCGGGTGGGGGCGCCAGAATCGAGTGACCGGCAGGAGGGAAGTGCACACCGCTCCCTCCTACCGGTCACTTAATGTAGCGTGGCCGGGCGGTGCAGACCACGGTACAGGAGCTTCTGCTCCCTGTACCCGGCCGCCGGCGGACTGAGAGGAAGTGCTCACTCAGTGAGCGCTTCCCTTCAGTCTGCCAGCGGCCTGGTACAGGAAACAGAAGTTCCTGTACAGGAAACAGAAGTTCCTGTACTGCGGTTCGTGCCGCCCGGCCATGCTACGTAGTTAGGAGGCACAAAAGTTAGGGAGGACCACCAAGGGTGGGAAGAGGGGAAGGTTCACCAAAGGGGGGGTAAGGACCACTGAGGGAGGGAAGAGGGGGAAAGGACCACTGAGGGAGGGAAGAGGGGGAAAGGACCACTAAGGGGAGAGGGGAGGAAAGGACCACTAAGAGGGGGTGGAGGAGGGAGAAAACCATTAGGGAGGAGGAGGAGGGAAAAAGGACCACTAAAGGTGGGGCAGAGAGGAAAAGGACCACTAAGGGTGTGGGAGCAGGGGAAAGGACCACTGAGGGGAAGAGGTAAGAACCACTAAGGGGGTGGGGAGGACCACTAAGGGGAAGAGGGGAGACCACTAAGGGGTAGAGGAGGAGGGAAAGAACCCCTAAGGGGTAGGGGAGGAGGAAAAAGGACCACTAAGGGGGTGGGTGGATAAGGGGAAAAAGGACCATTGGGGTAGGGAGGAGGGGAAAGGACCACTAAGGGGTGGGTGGATAAGGGGAAAGGACCATTGGGGGTGAGGGAGGAGGGAAAGGACCACTAAGGGGGTGGGCAGAGGAAAGGACCACTAAGGGTGTGGGGCAGGGGGGGGAAAGGCACTATCACCACTGGGGGAAGAGGGTAGGACCACTGAGGGGAAGAGTAACCACTAACCACCAAGGGGTGGGGGAGGACCACTAAGGGGTAGAGGAGGAGGGGGAGGACCACTAAGGGGTGGGGAAGAGGCTAGGACCACTGAGGGGAGAGGGTAAGGACCACTAAGGGGGGAGGAGGGGAAGGACCACTAAGGGGGGGAGAGGGAGGACCACTAAGTGGGGGGAAGAGAGGGGAGTGAGAAGACCACCAAGGGTGAACTGTGCAGAGGGACAGGGGGCCAAGGGAGAGCACTAAGGGACAGGAGGGGAGGAGAGAGCACTAAGGGACAGGAGGGGAGAACACTGAAGGACATGAGGGAAGGGGAGATCACTAATTGACAGGAGGGGAGAGCACTATAAAAAAATAAAGAGCTGCTCCCCTCTCAGTCCCTATCCTACCCCACAAACCCTCTCTTTTACAGTACACACATATACAATGCATTCCAACTCACACACAGGCACACCTAATCACACAGTGCATCACTTACGGGCACACACACACACACTGATTCTCTTACACACACACACACAGAAACAAAATGCACCCTTACAGGCACACACTGCATTAAATTACATACACAGAAACACACCTTGAATACCTTACACACACACACACAGAAACATACAATGCATTCCTTACACACAAACACACACTGCATCCCAAATTGGTATCCCTAAACACTACATTTCATAAGAACACACACACATTACATCCTCTACAATACCAAATAACACATCCCCTAGACACATACACTCCATTCCCTGTGAGAGAACTCATGGGTGGGCCATATAAGTGGATTTATGGGTGGGCCTTGTAGGCATACTCATGGTCAGGCCCTGGGGGCCCAGACCTTAAGCTGTGTAAGGGGCCCAAAAAAAAGGAGCTGCTTCATGTTAGTTAATTGTTGTGAGCACTTTTACAAGCAGTCTCCAGAGAGCCTCTTCTACACCAGACCTGTGGAGCCAGACTACAGACTGAGCCCATCATCAGCCTCTTGTCATCATCTGGTGGTAAGTAGGCAATCCAATATATTATTAGTGGCACTAATATCTAATTTACCTTAATGTAGTGGTTCTGGTGTCTACAGCCTGTGCCTGCAGGCTTTTTAATGTAAACATGCTGCCTTTTCAGATAAAAGACACTTTGTGCAGAACTGGCGTTGGCCCATATGGCAGAGCATATGGGCGGGTCATTGTGATGTCACATGGTGGACAGGACATATGGGGGGGTGGCAATTTTTTTTTGCCTAAGGTAGCAAGAATCCTTGCACCAGCCCTGGATGCAGATTGTACAGGTGTATATTAAATGCAGAGTGTGTGTGTGTGTTTGTTTATGTAGTGGATGTAGTGTTTGTGTGCATTGTGAATGTGGAGTGTGTTTGTGTAGTGCATGTAGTATGTGTGTATAATGGATGTAGTGCGTGTTTGTGTAGTGGGTGTGTAAAGTGAATGCAGAGTGTGTGTGTGTGTGTTTGTGTAGTGGATGTAGTGTTTGTGTGCATTAGATGTGGTGTATATAGTGAATGCAGAGTGTGTGTTTGTGTAGTGTATGTAGTGAATGCAGAGTGTTTGTTTGTGTAGTGAATGCAGAGTGTGTGTTTGTGTAGTGGATATAGTGTGTGTATAGTGAATGCAGAGTGTGTGTGTTTGTTTGTGTAGTGGATGTAGTGTGTGCGTGTATTGTGAATGTGGAGTGTGTGTTTGTCTAGTGCATGTAGTGTGTGTGTATAATGGATGCAGTGTGTGTGTTTGTGTAGTGTGTATAGTGCATGCGGTGTGTGTTTGTGTAGTGTGTGTATAGTGAATGCAGTGTGTGTGTTTGTGTAGTGTGTGTATAGTGAATGCAGTATGAGTTTGTGTAGCGTGTGTATAGTGAATGCAGTGTGTGTGTTTGTGTAGTGTGTATAGTGCATGCAGTGTGTTTGTGTAGTGTGTATAGTGAATGCAGTGTGTGTGTTTGTGTAGTGTGTGTATAGTGAATGCAGTGTGTATTTGTGTAGGTATGTAATGTGTCTAAAATGGGATGAGGGGCCTTTTTTTGTAACATTTAAAAAATATATTTTTTTTTTACATTTTATTTAATCCCTCCTCCCTCCTGCATCTAACCTTAACCGTGGGGTGATCGCATTCCCTGGTGGTCCGGTGGCTTGGTGCTCTGAGCCAGCCGCTGTTCTCTGCAGAGGGGGCCTGCAGCACACACTGACTTCCCTTCCCAGCAGCTCCCCTATCTAACTCTCGCGGCCTGTGTGCCGTGCAGAGCATTGCCAAGGTAACCCGTGGCAACACTCTAACGGACGCGGGACTCGCAAGATTTAGAGAGAGGAGCTGCTGGGAAGTGAGAGTGTGCTGCGGGCCCCCTCTGCAATGAACAGGTAGCCAGTACACACACACACACATATATATATATATCCAAACTCCCAGAGCAGTCCGGCCCTCCAGGGCCCATGACAGCCGTCATGCCCTGATGGCGGCCCTGAATAAATGCTTCTAGTGGCTGTCACTCAACCACTAGCAGTGGGTCTTCCGAAATAGCCGAGTAAAATCTTAGAGACCATTCGATTGCAACAGTGTGGTGTAATGCCGCACATGCACACTAGACTTCTGTTTACTTTCCTACATTTGGATTCTTAACACTATAGCGTTCCTTTAAGACTTCAGCTTTAATTGCTAATTGACAGAATTCTGTGACCAGCTGCTAACATATAGTGGTGAATGACTAGAATATTGCTGATGCAGTAGTCTGTGTCAATGCTCACAACTTGTGAGTCTATTATAAATCCTATTTCTACTTGAATATTCATTAATGGTGGCAGTAGGAGGGGTTTCTCAGACAAATTTCACAAGTAGGCGATATATCAGAATTATAACAACACATGTAGTGCTTGCAGATATTCATGTCATTTATAAGGAATAAAATCATTTAATATGCAGTGTGTATGAATGTATCTCAGAGCTTGAGTGAAGTAAAACACACAGCCAAGTCTGTCTAAATGAACGTAAAGATGTTTTGTTGCTGTAGAGCTCTGTGATACCATTCACACACCACACGTTATTTAATGCAATGCATTCGCACAAACCTCAAATTACTTCATACTTCTTAACCGTCCTGGATCTGAAAGAGAGATTTAGTTAAAAATTGGACTCACTGTTTACTAAAAGAAGAAGTTAAAAAAAAAAAATGCTCCTGCGTGTATGACTGAAAGATACAATTCCCTTTTTTCAGTTTATAAAGAACTTGTGCTTCTGGTTTCTAATTTCTCGGAATTTTGGATGATCAGTGATTCGCCAGAAATCTCAAACTCCAAAACGCTTGTTTTATGATTAGGAGTTCTGTCCATGGTAAAAAGGTATGGAGTTCGGGGGGGTGGAACATTTTTTTCTATGGTTAGGGGACACACATTATAAAGATTTTTTTCACTGCTCCTACTTTTTTCCCTCTTAGTTACTTCATCTCAAACAAATTGCACGTCTACAGAACGTGAACCAAAGAAATTATAAATGCACCTATCAGTGTAATGCAATATAGACATGCAATTTGTTTGGTTCCAAATCAAATTATGTTTGAATTTTTATTTATTGATTTATTTTAACTCAGCAGATTAGGCAATTCAGAAAATGAAAACAAATGGATCCGAAATGAAAAATAATGGATTTGTGTCAGATCCATGTGTTATTAAAAGGATAACAAAATTCTACTCTAAAATATATACATAATATTTATATAACCAAAATTTATTTTCCGCCTTTACAAAAAGTCTACCAAGCACGCTCTAAAAATAAAGCAATACTAAAGATAAATGACAATGCTTCCCTCTGCTGGCAATGAATAGATATAGCATTGAGTTTTCCTATTTTTTTTTTACATTGATTGAAGTGATCCTAGCTTTTTGCAATCTCTAGTTTATAGCCAATTTCTGGATCAAATTATTTGCTAAATTGGGGCTTATGGACTATTGACAAAGAAAATTCCAAATATTTGACTTAAAGGGAAAGATAACCAAGCCTAACTTTTTAAAAAAAATTTATTCCTACTTTGCATATTTCTCACCATTCACAGTTACCAGGACCTGATGAAAGTTTAGTATGTAAACTGAAACGTTGACTTGTAATTCGCTTTTGCAAAACAATTTTTAAAAGTCAAGTTTTATTTAACTGTGAACAAAGTCTTTGGAGTGCTATCATTAAAGGTTACTTGTATTTATCGGATCAGCACCAGACACAGTACATTTAAATACCCTGGAGCAGTGGTGTATTTTGAATTTGTGCTGCCCTAGGCATGAACAAACTCGGGCACCCCACCTAATTTGAATTTTCTCCACCCCTTCCTGTCAAGGCCGCAAGCACTTAGACTGACAGACACTCCCTCAGTGATGCATGCACCGACATACACACTGTTTACCCAACACACACTTTCACTGACAGTCACACACTATTACACAGAAACACACAGACAGTCACGCACACTCATTGACAGATGCACATACTCACTGACAGACACACACACACACATTTCCCCCACCACTTACAAATTACTAAGGACACGAGGCTAACAAGGCATCTGCTGGGGTGTTTGGAGGGCGGCTTTTTTTGCAACCCCCAGTTAAGTGCCTTGTTAGCCTGGCGGTGAATTCACCACTGCCCTGGAGTGCAGGTTATTTTGGATTTTATGTGTGTGTGTGTGTACATATTGTAGTGGATGACACTGGGCTGTCCTGCAAAATTCATGTGAATAGCTGAATTCGTGTAACCTGCTGGTTTTATATGTGTTTAAAAGAAATGTATTCCTCTGATTGTTCAGTAGAATCATTCGAATAAACTAAGGGAATGAAACTACCGAACAATCAGACCTCCCCTGTGTGAAGTGTGTCCTCAATTACCCGTTGCAACATTGTTGCAAACGGGTAATTGACAAGTTAAGTAGTCGTCCTTTGTTCTCGGCGGTGGCCGCCATTCAACAAACGAACACGTGGCGGCGGCCATTTTAAAACTCACGAACAGCGGTGTTTTGTCGTCGAGTGTCTGGAACTCAAATCGGACACTCGACTAGGCGAACACCGCTGAAACCTCCACAAGCCCGGTCCGTTCAGTTCCTAACTACCGAACGGCCCCTCGTTCGGTAGATAGAAAGAACCGAACGAGGGGATTCAGGCGAACCCTCCCTAGCCTCTAAAGCTAGAGGTTTTTGTGCCATTCATTCCCTGACTCCAGGACCGACCACAGGGCCCATTCACATGGAACCGCATTCGGCTGTTTCACTCAGTGCGGTCGGTCATTTTATTCCCTCCATAAATTTCCCGAACCCCTGGTCTGATCTGGGTGATTTTTGGATATGTTGTTCACCCAGATCAGGGCTACCAGGGGATGTATGATTTAAAGGGGTACCCTTACGTTTAGGGGTACATCCAGAAACGGGGAGGAATTACTGTACTGGATAAGGGGATTATGATGCTGGCTTAGGGGAGGAGATGTGTGGGAGGTTACCAGGACAGGATTGGCTATTGTATTAATGAATGTAATCCCTCCCTTGCATGGGAGCATGCTTTAAAAGGCCAGTGCTTTAAAAGGCAAGCTTTCAGTTCTGCTCCTGAAACTGTGTGTCGTCCAGTTATTGGGATTGCTGTGGGGATACTGCTGTTATTTTGCCTGCTGGAAACCTTGCCTGTGGATTTACAATTTACTTGTTCCTGAGCCTCACTTGGATTATAAGCGGAGATAACCTGGGGAATATTGCATCTCCGCTAAACATATATATGTGTGTAAATAAAGGACAGGAATAACTGTCCTGTATTATAACTGAACATTTATTATGATGTGTTTAACCCCTTAAGGACACATGACATGTATGACATGTCATGATTCCCTTTTATTCCAGAAGTTTGGTCCTTAAGGGGTTAAATAACAGTAAAAAATATACCTGGAGATGATGCAGATCAAAAGATGCTCATTCCCTATCACCCCAGGACTCCATGCTGAGATTCTCTGCGGAACTTCTCTCTACACTGTCCAGGATCCAGTTAAGGAGGTTCTAGCAACGCTAGGACATTCTCACCATGAGAACCTGGGTTGGATTAGTCATGTCTGAACACAGTTTTTTTTTTTTTTTTTTTTTTTTTAAACAAAGCTACTATTCCAGATGTGGAAGTCACTCCCCCACCCTCCTGCTGCATGTGCTTCTTTGGCAGCATTTTATATGTTCTTTAGCCGAAGACACAGCCGGGGATTGTATTTCTATAGAAGTAACCCAATCACCATGCAGTTGGAAGCCACACAGTGACCGTTAATAAAACTACAAACTCTCTTAATGACACAACCTATGTCTCATTATTAGTGTCATCTGTCACTAAAACAGTATTGTGATATAAAAATTTTTTAAAAAGTCTAAAGTATGTTTTCAGCTGGGTGAGATTATTTTTTTGATAGTTTATACTGGCAAGTATTTTTGTAACTTTTTTTTTTTTTACAGTTAACCACTAACTAGCCTAATACTAAATTCCACTGACTTCCACCCACTCCAGCTAACTAAATAACAATTTAAAAATATTACAATAATTATGCACTGAGAGTTAAATAAAAATAAAGTTAACCTGTGATGAATGGCTACTGCTGGCGATCTGGCATTAATCTTCGTAAATGACAGAAATTTTTTGTCATGCATCCATAAAGGTAGGACTGCCATGACAGAAAATTTCCATCTTGTATCACAAAAGGTGTTATACACAGTGAATGTCATATACTTTTACAGGGATATTCACCAAAAGTGAGAATTGTCAGGAAATCAAAGTGAATTTTACATTTAAGGCCAAAATGAAGAAAAAAAAAAAAAAATCACTTTGATTTCCTGACAATCCCCAGTTTAGTAAATAAACATGTTTTAGATAGAGACCCCCTACATTTCTTGCGCATCTGAACCGCCCTAATCCATGTCCTCCGGTCAGGGCCGCCATCAGAAATTTTGGGGCCCCTAACACAGCTCAAGGTCTGGGCCCCCCTTCAAGCCCGCCTCCAAATCCCGCCCACAGGAATACACACACACTAACAGATACAAATACTGAAACAGACATACACACATGCATAGGGAGATACTGACACACACACACACACACACACACACACACACTGAATACTGATATATACATACATGCATACTGAGGCATACATACATACAGACACACACAGGCAGGCATGCATACATACATACAGACACACACTGGCATACATACACGCATGCACTGGCATACACTGGCATACACACATACCTCATCCCCAGCCACCCTCCTCTCTTCCTTACCATTTCATCGCAGGAGGGTGGCTGGGGATGATGGGCATCGGCTGCCTCTCCTCAGGCTGCGTCCTCCTTCCCGCGCGGAGTAAAGTGGGAGGAAGTGACCGGACGTCACTTCCTCCCAGCAGCACTTGCTTCCGGCTGCATTTTTATTTTTTATTATTTTTTTTTTTTAAGGGGCCCGGTTGCGCTATTACAGCGCTGATCGGGCCCCTGAAGATAATAGGGCCCATTGGGTGGCCCTAAATGATTGGGCCACCTGATGGGCCCCATCAGCATGTGGGCCCCGGTGCAGATCCATCGGCGGCAGTTCCGCTGATCCACGTGGGACACAATTGTCACGGTTGTCATGTCCTGATGGCGGCCCTGCCTGCGGTTACATTGTTAAAGGAGCACTACAGTGCCAGGAAAACAAACCCGTTTTCCTGGCACTATAGGGTTATTAGGTACCCCCCCTCCCGCTGGCCTGAAGGGGTTAAAACCACTTCAGCCACTTAACCTAATCCAGTGCCGGGCACCCTTGGCGCTGGTGACCTCTCCTCCCCCTCCGACGTAAGCTCCCAAGCGTTACTAAATGCTTTCCTATGGGGATCTGAACTCACGCTGCGTAAGTTCAATGCGATTTTCACACTGAGAATCGCAGAAGCGGCCTCTAGTGGCGGCCAGGGAGAACTGTCAGGAAGACAGCCACTTGAGGCTGGATTAAAGGACCACTATAGGCACCCAGACCACTTCAGCTCAATGAAGTGGTCTGGGTGCCAGGTCAATCTAAGGTTAACCCTGCCTGCTGCAAACATAGCAGTTTCAGAGAAACTGCTATGTTTA